CATATTGATTTTTTGTGTGTACCAACCACTACCACTCGAGATGCAATGCATGAGCAGATCTTCCCGTTAATGAGCAGATGAGATGAGAGTTGGCCAAGAAGCGGCTTCGAGATTGCGGATTATTAAAAATCAGCAAACAAAAAATGCAGTAAAAACTGAAGAAAACCCAACACGAAAAGTGATACATTTTCCCAGCTGCATTTATCGCTCAAATCGTTTACGGAGCAAACACTCACTCATCAGAAAAAAACCCCGCATACGTTGCAATAATTAAAACTTGGTTAAAATATAACGGGCAGAGGGGGCAGCGGCGGGGGTACAATGCATCATCGTGTTGATGTTGCGATGCGAAACGACCGCACCTAATTGGTTTTGCATGAGTTAGTTGCTGCTGTTTATACGGCGAAGTGGGCGAAAGGGCGGAGGGGGCGGGGCCCAAGTTGCCAACACATTTGGGGCATAAGTGGCAAAACCAAAAAAACAAGGTATCGAAACGTGAAAAGTAATGCCACTTTGACCGGTGTCAATTTGTCCAAAGCAGGGATAAGTAAATTATCTAACAAGTGTTACATTTAAACGAAAAAGTTTGGAAAAACCATAGTTTAAGGATGATAATTAAAATGTTCATGTCATAGGAAATTGAAGAATAACTTACTTAAGCTTTAGATTTATGCAATCCTTTGTTAAACAGTTGCGACTATGCTTTCAAATAAACAAAGTATTAAAAAACGGGGCTTAAATTGATACCGATTCTAAGGCTGTGGTTAAGGATTCTTTCATTGAAATAGTATAATTTTACTTACTGTTACTAATCACTTAAGCTATCTAAATATGCCTGATATTCCGTGTAAGCTTAAGTTTAATTAGGCATTGTAAAGGGGTTTTGAAAACCTTTTCAGCTCTTTAACATCTCCATATCACTCTTATCAAATCGAATGCAATCGGATGAGGCAGAAAGGCAAACACAAAGCTAAATAGTGCCTTTCAGTTGTTGCACAAATGCAAATCGCGCATTTTCGCATGTTTTTCAAACAAACATGCCATATCATGATGTTTGGACACCTTTGCATCCCTTCCTCCTGATAATAGTATGACATAATTAAAGCCCGACACATGTTTGGCTTTCTTTTCAGCGCTGTGGTCAGCTGTCATCCTGTCCATTTGTCCACCTGTCCAGTTGTCCACCTGTTCACCTGTTCACCTGACCACCCCACGCTGACATGTCACGACACTTCGTGGGAAACTGATGATGGGACATCAGGAATGGGTAGGTATGCACATTTTAAATGGAATTTTATGTATGCTTCATTTTAGCATACATCTGTAAATATAAACATAAGGAAAATCACTCTGTAAAGTAAAGAGAAAAAATCCAAATCAAATGAATCAATTTTCAGTTACAATTTGTATTTAAAATGGTGCTAAAAAGTGCTAACAGTTTCCTTCAGCGATTTTCCTAAATTGTATTGTATAAAGTTATATTTTAATTTATAAAAATAAAAGAACATTTTTTGAAAATTAGGAACCTATGCCACATTTATGGCTTTTTAATCTTTGCCTAGATTTATTTGAGGTTTATAATACTTATAGAATCAAATTTTTGGCTTATAGTGCCACTTACTTATACAAAAATGTTTTAACTTTTCTTTTATCATCAGTTTTCAATTTTTAAGTAATCGGCTAGCAAATTTTTAAATTACAATATACTAAATGTGTTCAGTCAAATTCAATTTAGGAAAAATTTATTGATATACTTTATTTGCATCTATTTATTTTTGTTGTTCTCTTCCGAAAAGGTGTTAAATAAAATGTTTTTGCTTAACCTTGTTTATAGCCAGGCCATAACTCGGCTGATTAAAGATGTTGGGCTGCTGGTTTATCTGCAAGGGTATATAAAACTCTTAAGAAACAGTTGATTTCTTTCTTTTTTATTGCATATATGTATTTATTTTTCATTCACACGCTCGCTCACACATCATGGACTCCCACATGGCTACATTTTAATATTTCTCCCAGATGAGGAGCCAGGATGCAGGATGTGCAGGAGCTGGTGAGGCATCGGCCATATTTCACAATTTATTGTGCTTGTCAATTGCAAGAAGGCAAAAAATACTACCATGCCATATGCATACTCGCACTCGCACTTGAATACGAAGAGTTTAGGGGGAAGTTCGCAAATTTATTCTACTGGAAATATTGCATTTTGATATCTCGCATACAACTTGATGTCTGCAAATCATCGGAGCTGCAAGTGGTTCGCTTTGTGTCTGTTTGCTTTTGGCCTTGCCATCGAATGGGTAAACCGAATGTCCCGGTTCACAAAATGCAGCAATTAGAATTTATTGGAATTATATTGGGCTTAAATATATAAAAATGTTCTGTTAAAAGTTAGTCATTTTGTGGCAGAAATTGAGCTCAGCTCTCAAATTCGATTTAAGTGGATTTAATATTTCAAAGCTCTTTGATTGTCACCTATTGACATCTGATACCTCTTCCATCTATTATTTTAACAAAAAGCGTTTCATCCAAAACCAAATATGGTTTATACCTGTAAATGAATACGCCATAATCACATACAAATGATGGTAAATCCATATGCATATCTACACACTTGACATTCAACTCTGCCATGACCCCAGATAAAAAAAGAAAAAAATAGAGGAGGAAAAATAAAAACAACTTTAAGGGCAGGTTGAGTTGACTTGGCAGATGGCTTGTAAGTGGCTTTTTGACTTGGCCATTAACGCAAACTTGACACATTGATGACAACGTTGTTATTGGCGCTATTGCCACGGTTATTGTTTTTGCAATCACTGGTGTCTGTCACCTAACACTTGGCTATATCTGTGGATAATGTGGGTATAGACATGGCACGGCGTAACATTAGATTTATGATAAGTCACGATTTCAGCTGGCGGGTGGTAAATTGTTTCAAGCATAAGAAAAAAAGGCAAAATACGAATTTTTTACGCAATCGAAGTGCATTTTGGCAGACAGTTGGTGCTCATCAGCCAGCCAATTAAGTTGTTTAATTGAATTTCAAGTAGAAAGTGCCGAGCAAACCGAACGAGATGAAGAAGACACCGCAAAACAATTTAGCAAACGAGCAGGAAAACGCAACGAATAATTGTGCTGCACTTCTTCAATTCGTCCAGAAATTGTAATTTTCTAAAAAAAAAAAATATATATACGTGTATAGTTACCACAGTTTCTCATTGAATTAAATGTTGTTCCCAAAAGCAGTTTAAGCTTCAGAACCAATTAAATAAAGTTTACATGCAGGAAAATATAAAATAATATTCATTTTTAAAAAACCTTTTTGTAGTCTAACTAGAAATAATTGCCATCCTGTCCTACATTGAATTTTATAAGTGTTTTTCCGTTAAAGGTCTTAACTATAATATTCTTACTTTCTCCATTGTTGCTGAATATTTTGCTGCTTGCATTTCCCGTAAAATGTATTTCCATTTGCTCTGTCTAGCCCGACTTTTCGCTTTTCCCCTTGAGGGAGTTTTCCAGAGAACCTCCCTGCACTTCACATAATTTCAATGGACCGCATTTACGTTTGGCTCGGTTTATCTCTCTTTCCTCTGAATATCCGACGGCGCCGACATTGCCGTGACAATGCCGAACTTATACACACACATATCACCCGTAGACAGGAGGAGCGGGAGACCCTACACCTTAAGAAAAATATACTATATAATATAAATATGATACAAATATATTGAAAACATGTTTCTGAATGAGATATTTAACCTTAGTCTGCAATGTTTTAACAAAATGCTATTAGAAAATATTACTTACATTTATGAAAGTCAAAGTGCTTAATAATCAAACACTCCTTTAAAATGTAATATATTCTTTTTCATGAAAGTGAGCATTTAATACTAAAAATAATACAATTTTATATTAGATTCAAACTTGATTATACTTTAATTTACTTTTGCGAAACCTTGTAAAATTATTTTTCTCTGTGTAGTAAGACTTTGAGCAGGGAACTCGTGAAGAACGACCGTCATCGATGCTCGCAATTTGTGGCTTTCGCCACGCTTAATGCCAATCTCGGTGAGGAGTGCCACCGCCCAATCACCGCCCCGTGGAAAGCACCACCCATTTCAGCACCCAATCGGATCCCCCCTCCGCTCCACTCCCCTCCCCACACCCATTCTTGTGCTATCTGGCCGCATTACAATTCACTGACATAATGCAAAAATCGCAGCAAGTCAGGCGCAACTCGTTGATAGGCGTGTTCTGCAATTTCTGTCTGATTGGGAAAAAGGACCTGGGGAAAAGGGGGTATATTGTATTGTGGCAGAAAGGATTCAAGGAATCCCCGAATGGAGAGCAAGCTAATTAAAGTTTGCGTGGGTATTCCCAAAAATACCTACCAGTTCTAGTTCGGCAGCTGTGACATTAATTATGCTATAATGGTGCACTTTTAAGTATAGTTTAAATTTATGACTAGAAATACTTAAAACAAAATTTTATGTGACTGAGTAAACCGGTTCAGTAATTATTAGTTGTTTAAGACTACAAATTCTCCTAACAAGCTCTGCTCAAATTATGCCATTAATATTTATGGCTACTGAAAATATTGCAAAACAAAATTAATGTTAACACTACAAGCATTTTTATTGCATTCAAATCTTTTTTAAGCGGTTGTATACACACATTTCGTTTACAATCTTTTGTGTTTTCTAATAATGCTTGCTCATAACTTGAGTACTCAGTAATTGTGTTAACTTTATAGCCATTGAAACCCATAAAATAATTAAACTTAACCCCCTTGGGCGAGCGTATCAATTCGCGATAATCGCCTTGAACAATCTAAACGGCCAAGGAAAGTATATAAATCTTGGATTTGCGCGGCGCTTATCTGGTATCAAGGAAACTCCAATAAAAAGCCCCACTCGAGTTTCAATCGACAGATTAGATTGAATTTAAAATTGATTAATAGGAATTTGTGCAAATACTTAGTCGTACGTACGATCTCGAAGGCAAAAGTTCAGCTAGAAATGCTGAAAGGAGTGCTGACTATTTTGGCCATTGTGGCTATAACCGGAGCTATTGACGATTTTGATCCTTTCATAGATATACCATTTAAACGGATCAAGACTTCGGTGGGTCTCAATATTTTTGGCCTAAAAAAATAGTGAAAAATGTTATATTAATATGAAATAAAAGCATTCCTTATGTATCATTTAACAAAACTTATAAGTTTTTTCATATATGAAAAGAGGTTACAAAATAAATAAAAACCGAAATTAGCTTCGTAATATGTAATTGTGATAATTTTTAAGTGTGAGTGATATACATATATTTTAATTTAAATTGTATTTTTTTAATTATAGATTGTGTTCGTGGAAATCGAATTACAAATAATAATCTATCCTTTTAACATAGATGTTTTAATCCTTGTACTTAGTTCACACCGGTTTCAGCTTAAAGCCATTTTGAGGGCAGATTTAACCCGGATTCTCGTTGCAGGCGGAGCGCATTGAGGCCCATGGTTACCCGGCCGAATCGCATTTCGCGGAGACCCCGGACGGCTATGTGCTGAACCTGTTCCGCATCCCCCACTCCCCCAAACTGAACAATGCGGGTGGGGAGGGCCGTCCGGCGGTGCTCATCATGCACGGACTGTTCAGTTGCTCCGATTGCTTCCTACTCAATGGGCCGGAATCGGCTCTGCCGTTCAACTACGCAGATGCCGGCTACGACGTCTGGCTGGGCAATGCCCGTGGCAATATCTACTCGAGGAACAACACCCGGCTGGACGTGAAGCATCCGCACTTCTGGAAGTTCAGCTGGCACGAGATTGGCGCCATCGATCTGCCCACCACGATTGACTACATACTGGATCGCACGGGGCAGCAGGCCCTCCACTACGTGGGCCACTCCCAGGGCTGCACATCCTTCTTCGTGATGGGCTCCTTCAGGCCGGAATACAATGCCAAAATCAAGACGGCTCACATGCTCGCCCCGCCCGTGTACATGGGCAATACCACGGAGGGGCTCATTGTGAGCACTGCTCCCTTATTCGGACATCATGGAATCGGGTCCACACTGTTGGAGAACCAGGTCCTGCTGCCCCAGAATGCCTTCATCCAGAGGTTATTGGACACCACGTGCAGCAACCAGCCAATTATGCTCGGCTACTGCAAGACTCTGGCCATGCTCTGGGGAGGTCCTGAAATTGGAAACCTGAATCAGGTGGGTGGCCTATAAAATACATTCTATCCTATAACTATTAATTAAGCCTACTTAAATCAATTCCTTCTGGCCTTATTGTAGGGGTATGATATGATATCCCCAAAGATATGATTTAACACCGTTGAATATATAATTTAATAGTTAATAGCTTTTATTTAGTTTTAAGTCCTGGTCACAGGACTTCAACTGATCTCGCTCTCCGCTCAGAACTCGCACCAACCCCCAACTCTCTGATAGAGTTTGAGAGCGATGAGAGCACAAGAGAGAGAGAGCCCAGCGAGAGCAAGCTCTACAGCAACAACTAAGGAATAAAGTATCTTATACATATTAATAGGTAGTAATCAAAGAACAATATAATCTCTTATATATTGGTCTTTGTAGCAATCCTGCTACATTACCTAACGTAATTTAACCCAACTTTCATTATGTTTGTATTAACAATTATTATACCGATTAATTTATGTTTTATTTCCTTGCCAGACCCTTCTCCCCCAAATCGCTGAGACCCATCCCGCCGGAGTCTCCTCCAACCAGGCCATTCACTACATTCAGTCATTCGCCTCCAACGAGTTCCGTTTATACGATTGGGGAAGCCGCAAGAACTTGGAATATTATGGGGTGGCCGAACCCCCGTCATATGATATTACCAAAATCACGTCTGAACTATATCTGTACTACGGCTTGTCGGATGGATCGGCCAACAAGAAGGATATATCTCGTCTGCCCGAACTTTTACCCAATTTGGCCCTGCTGCATGAAGTGCCCGACCCCACGTGGGGACATTTGGACTTTATTTTTGCCACGGAGGTCAAGAAGGTCATCAACGATATGGTACTGGATTATAGCATAGCTTACGATGCGGAGGAATCCAATAAATAAAGATGGAAAATGGTAAATAAGTGGATAAAAAGTGTACTTTTAATGGGGCTAAGTTGTTATGGATGTGAAAATTAAATGTTTAAAAAACTTATAATAATAATAATAATTTCGAATGAAAAAAAACAAACAAACTTGGCCATTATCTTTGGCCAAGTGAGTGACCTTTCGAGACAGTTTTGGCCAGAATGGCAAGTGAGTCGCGCTAATTACCAGTTAACAAGTGTCTGCCTCGTGCTCTTAACTTGGTATCGGTCACGCCTTCGTGATGTACAACTTTTCTCCTCCCGGCTTGTTGACAAACATTATCGCTGGCTGGATAACGTGGTTAGCTGGCCTCCTCTCCACTTGCATAGCCCTTTTCCTAAATTACACTAATTAGCACTCGGCTTCTACGAGTTGGTTTGTTTGGCGGTTTAGTTGGGGCCAGTTGCAAATATGCTTATAATGCTGATTTATGTGGCTTAGTGGGAGGTGATCACTCTGTGGAATGAATTTATTATGAATTCCCGGTAAAGAAATGAAGTTAATGCATATGTTAATTCCCAAGTATCTTTCATAGCTCAATCAACATAGGTTTTCCTGTGAAACTAGCTATACAATATTAAATTGAAAGTTGGAATTTAGTGTGAATCAGATTTCTTATCGCAGGTGCTATCAGCCAGCACTTGTTAGATTAAGAGCAAGATCTAAATCGCGCCAAATGCTTATCTCAACCTCCTTGGTGCAGTGAACCACCCAGATAATTAATTGACTCTAAGTAATTCCCAGAGTGCTTCGCACTTCGGATGGTTTTACCCCTTTTCCTTTCGGCCATTAACCACTAAAGCCAGGCTGTTGGCAATTAAACCGCAGCTCTTTATTAATCGCGGCCCGCTGATGTGGAAGAGGATAATGCCGGTGACGAGGCTCAAGTGCGTCAGCAGACGAAAGAAATTCACAAAAAAATGGCGGAGTGAAGGAAAATTGCAGATCATCAAAGGCAACAGGGGAATAAAATTAATAAAGTGTAAAAGGATTTTGTCGCGACGGTGAGGGATTCTCCACAGACATCTGGGGGGCTATAAATCTGCCGGTTACCCGCGCCCAAAACCTGACCCCATAACCCTTTATTTTCGTTTTCAATTTGTTGGAAAAGGCAAACAGAAAGTGTTAAAAGTATTTCTCATGCGGAAAATCCACAGTGACTGGCCAAGCGCTGACAAACTTTTCTCACCCAACTCTGCTCCTCGCCTTTCCTGTCTTTCCCTAAGTGGCTGCGACACTTTTGTATGCATAATTTAAACAAAAGTCGCCAAAAAACTGGGGAGAACTGGGTGGCTGAAAAACAACCAGCAGCATCGGCAACAGAAAGTTGCAATTGCAAAAATTGAAAAATTTTCCGCATAAAAATATGCGCCTGGCAGGAAAGGACCCAGGGAAAAACAAGAGGAAAATCAGAAGAGCCCCAGAAATAGCAGGAAATCTTACTCTCAGCCAAAATGTCGACAAAGTGTCGTGCATGTTGTTGGCCAAATGTTTATTGTCGAAAAGTTAAGCAGAATGCAGATTACCAGGAGTAGTGTAAGGGGTCTCAAAAGAACAACTGTCCTATTTTGATATTTATTAGTGAGTTGCGGTTTCTTACTAATGAACTATTTTAATTCGCATATCAAATAATATACATTTAATTATTTTATTTCTTTAACTTCAGTCGAACTTTTAATTCCTGCAAATATAATACTTTTACTTGAACATAAGTCTTCCTAATTTATGCACCTAATTTAATACCCATTTATTTGCCCTGCTTTCTAACTATGGAAAACAAGGCCCCAAAAGAAAGTCTTGTTTGCGCCAAAAAGTTTCTGGTTTTAAAGTAATTAAATCTACATTTGCTTAATCAAAAACAATTCACAAATTATGATATAATTTGGGCAACCTTTTTATACCCTTGCAGAGGGTACTATTGTTTTGGAAAGAAGTCTGTAACGCAGTAAGAAAATATACAATTTTTAATGTTTTCGAGCTACATTTTATATAATTAAATGAAAATTAAATATATAAATAATATACACCAAAAAAACACAGTTTTAATTATTTTAAAATGTGTTTTTTAAAAGATGTATAAAATACAACATAGATTTAATCGTACAGCTTTTCAAATATGTAATATATAACGGTTTTTTTTGTAAATAAAAAGTCACGAATTGCAGTATTTGTATCTTTGCAGTAAATACTGAAAGCTTTCAGCCAGCTTTTCAGCTTATTAATGGATCCCGCACTCTGGTCACACTGCTGAAGCGACCGAAAAGAGAGAAAGAAAGTAATTCCGATAATTGCAATTAATATAATTAAAACAAGGGAAATAATAAGCCAAAAATGGAGGTGGAAAGCCCGGAACACACGCGAGACTTCGCCGAGGTGGACATCAACAATGGGGCGCCATCGGGATCGGAGGACGAGGAGGAGGAGGTGCCTGCGCCGGGAAGCGTTACTCTGGACCGGAACGAAAGTGATCTATTTGTGTCGGCATTGAGTCCCAGCAGCATGGGAGATATACACGTAAGTCGGGGAAGCATAGCCGGATACAGCCCGCACAAAGAGCCCTACTTAAATAGCTACGATTTCGGGGCGTCGCTCGCTTTATCAGCGCTCGCTTTGTTTGGCTTTGTGGCTACGTCACGAGTGCCGCCCACCAGCACAGCTTGTTGCTTTATATATCCATTTCATTGCTGCTTCTTCCTCTCTCAATCCCCTCTAGCCGCTGCAAGAGGTGCTCACCGACGACGGGGACTACTTCATCAGCATTGTCGTCTCGGATCCCCAGAAAATAGGCGATGGCATGGGCTCCTATTTGGCCTACAAGTGAGTCACACATGTCCCTTATCATAGATAGCAATTTAAAGCTACATTTTAAACGTTATCTCCTCCTCCCGCAGGGTGACCACCAAAACGAACATTCCCAAATTCAAGCGCAGCGAGTTCAGCACTCTGCGCCGCTTCAGCGATTTCCTGGGTATCCACGATCTGCTGGTGGGCAAGTACATGCGGCTGGGTCGCATCATTCCGCCGGCGCCCTCGAAGAACATCATCGGGAGCACCAAGGTGAAGATTAGCCCGCAGCAGAGCGAGCCGGGCACACCGATGAACCAAGAGTGGGTTGAGATCCGCCGGGCGGCCCTGGAACGATTTGTCCACCGCACCGCCCAGCATCCGGTGCTGCGCGTCGACCTGGACTTCATGAACTTCCTGGAGAGCGACCAGGAACTGCCGCGTTCCGTGAACACATCCGCCCTCAGCGGGGCCGGTGTGATCCGGCTGTTCAACAAAGTTGGCGAGACGGTGAATAAGATCACCTACAAAATGGACGAGAACGATCCGTGGTTCGACGACAAGATCACCGAGGTGGAGAGCCTGGATGCCAACCTGCAGAAGCTGCACAACGCCATGAAGTCGCTGGTTACATCGCGACGGGAGCTGTCGCTGCTCACAGGTCTAGTGGCTAAGTCGGCGGCAATGCTGAGCACCTGCGAGGAGCACACTGGACTCTCCCGGGCACTGTCCAACTTGGCGGATGTGGAGGAGAAGATCGAGCTGCTACGCTCCGAGCAGGCCAACTCGGACTTCTTCATTCTGGCGGAGTTCATCAAGGACTATTTGGGCCTGTTCGGGGCCATCAAGTGCATTTTCCACGAGCGCGTCAAGGCCTTTCAGAACTGGCAGTACGCCCAAATGCAGTTGTCCAAGCGACGGGAGAACCGCGGGCGCTTTGAGCTGGCCAACAGGGCGGATAAGCTAGACCAGGCTCAACAGGAAGTGGACGAGGTGGGTCTGGAGAAGTTATGGTTACTTCTGTTAATAATACTTTTTATTTCTTGATCGATTTTCAGTGGCAGGGCAAGGTGCAGCGCTGCCAGCAGCAGTTCGACGACATTTCGGCGGAAATTAAACGTGAAATGGAGCGCTTCGAATTGACCAGAGTTAAAGACTTTAAAGTAAACATTATCAAGTATATAGAAGACCAAATGGCGCATCAGCAACAGGTCAATATTTATATTCTCACACATTCGCACACATAGGGTTAACGACATTGTCTCTTTTTCAGATCGTCAGCTATTGGGAGGCCTTTGCTCCGTTTGCCCGCGAAATCGTTTAACTTTTATTCCGATTCCCGAAGCATTTCCAGAAACTTTTTGAATAATCAACAGCTATGCGCTCTATGAACTTATTAAGCGGGACCAAATTCGTTCTTGATCCATCGATTTGGAGCTACAATTTCGCCTTCAGCACTTATCTTGCAATTCGCCGCCGAAGCTCGTATTTTTATGAAACTGCTTTCGATTCCTCTCAAGCATTGAAAAGTTAAACTTTATCGTTGCATTCACAAAGCCTATTATCTCTTTATTCGTATACAATAATTATTATCAAGGCTTTTAAACATTCACAGAAAGCTGAAAGTTTGTTGCAGACTCCCAGTTTTGCGTACTCTCATTCTAAGTATGCATTTGGTATTATCTAAAACACGGCAATGTGAATCTAGTAGTTAAATGAAAGTGAAGAAGACATTGGCCATTTCCAAATTGAAGTTTATACCATTAAGATTGGGAAATGGTTTTCCCTGTTTATTGTTGGTATATTTATGTATTTATATATATATTCCTATTAAAACCTTTTGTATCATGACAAAGAGAGCATTTCAACAAATAAATTTGTAAATATGTATAGATGTAAAAAGTTGTTGTCGTTTTGTATATATTTTTGTTTAGAATGGCAAAGTGCAAACTTTGCCATTATTTTACTTGCTAATTATATCCGTATAATGTTCTTTGATCTTTCAGGTACATAATTTGCATGCCCGTTGAAAAAAGTATCATTTTAAAAATGATTCATGTTGGAAAAACCAAAGAATAATCAGAAGGATGTATCTTTGACACCAAGCAAAAATTATTAATCTCTACGTTCCGTTTATAAAGGCAAAACTAACTTCCGTCAAGCCGAAGTGAATATACCTTTGCTGCTGTTACAAAACAAAAGTGTTTATTTCGGAATACATTAATATATGTAATTTTTCAAAACGTAGTTTTCGGATCGTTCCTATGGGAGCTATATGATAAGTCATCCGATCCAGCACGTTGCGACTTACATATATTCAACATGCAATATAAAGAAGACTTTAAGGAAAGTTTCATCCAGATGGGATCGGACAGATGGAGATGCCTTGATCGACTTTCCTGGTGATGCAGACCTAGAATACATGTACATATAATAAATATCTCCCCCGCTGCGTTGCAAAATTTTTACTGAAAGTATAATACTTTCTGCAAGGGTATAAAACTAAATTAAGTCAGTGATAAGCCACACATGTCGGTGTAGCTTATCACTTTGGTAATTTTTGAGAAACGCCAGAGCCAAAGTCATCAAACAAAATCCTATCAGTTGCCTCTATCATATTCGCGCAGAATGTTCAAGTTCGGAAATCTTATTATGTTCGCCTTACTAGCCTTGGACCATCGCGGATATGCTGTGCCTCGGGAGGTCCACCAATCCGTGTGTCTACTCTCGGATGCCCCAAACCAATGCGGGGCTTTTACCCTCTCCAGACTGGGGCCCCTGTTCGCCGACATGGATGAGTTGAAGATTAGACTAAGTGAATCCAAAATACAAGCAGTACAAGAGAGGGTGGAAAACAATATAAGAGAAGTCGTGGAAACTGAAATGCAAGCAGTAAGAAACAGAATTCAAGCTCTGGAAGAAACCTTGCTATCGGTTTCAAAGAAGTTTGAAGGCCAATTACAATCGAGTTTGGACAGGATGCAAGACCAACTGAAAGCAGTACAGAATAAACTGGAGCGAGACTCAGTTACTGGGCTAAAAGACATTCCTCCGAATTTCGAGCTGATCGGATCCAGGTATTTTTATATCGAAGACAAAGTTTGGCAAAATTTTACAACTGCTGCCAGTACCTGTCGCCAAATGGGTGGGTATCTGGCCTCCATTAAGGACGAAGAAGAGCTAAACCTTATCCGCATGAAACTCGAGAACGAAGAACCCTACTGGCTGGGCACCAACGATCACAAAGAAAAGGGCAGTTTTGTGTCGTTGGCCTCCGGAAAACCAGCCTTTTTAAAGTGGGCCAGGGAAGACCCCTCATACGATTTCCCAACTAACTGCATTGAATTATTTTACAGTATCGATCTGGAAAACATGATGATGTACGATTGTGATTTGGAAAGCTACTTTATATGCCAAGCTGATAAAGAAATATAATAGAACAAATTAAATGTTTGTGTACAAATTACAAAAATTAAAACATTTTCAATAATAAAATAAAAAAATTTAGGTTTAAATTTCCTTTTAATATAAACATTAGACTATGGCGACACATTAATTATGAATCTAATTACAATATGATCACAATCAAAGTAAAGTAAAGTAAATAAGAATTCAATATTTTACTCTCTGAAAGAGTATACAAAAAATAAATACATAAGTAAGTGATAAGCCACACAAGTCGGTGTCAAAAGTTATCAATTTTTAACTCTACAGTAATTACTGTAATTTGCTCTACTGTAATTTAAGGAGAAAACACTTAAAAACGAAATAAAAAAACAACTGTATATCAGTAGTAATAACTTTAATAAATACAAAAAGACGCAAAATAAATTATGAATTACTCGCTAATACGCAGTGACATAATAAGAAAAACTATTTCTAATAACTTCTCAAAAAATATTTCATTTTGAAAAATTGTTGGTGAGTCTAGATTAAAACACTTAAACACTTTTGTATGGATGTTTTGTATTTTGAAAAAAAGCACGACACGCGCCAACCACACATATTTTTCATTTTTTGTATTATTCTCACACGGGCACACTGTTTTATACAATCCAGAAGAAGAAGTGTTTAGTCATTTTCAATCCATTTGTTTCTCGAAGTTTTCCAAATAAAAGCCATATAAGAGGCCTTCAAAACGGTTTTAGTGAATAGTTTCAAGAAAGTTAGCAATTAAACAAGTACAGACATGGAGTTTCCACATTTGGGTCAGCACTGCAGCGAGGCAACTTGCAACAGATTGGGTGAGTCGCAAAAAGAGGGCAACCAGGAAGCAGAAATTAATTGAATTAATTTCGATCTATAAACAGATTTTCTGCCCGTAAAGTGCGACTCGTGCGACAAGGTCTTCTGCGCCTCGCATTATAACTACGAGAGGCACAACTGTCCGGGTGCCCACAGGAAGAACGTCCAGGTGCCCATCTGCCCACTGTGCCGCGAACCCGTGCCCACGCCTCCCGGAGTCGAACCCGATGTCACCGTGGGCCAGCACATCGACCAGCAGTGCAAGTCGGAGAGCAAGAAGATCTACACCAATCGCTGCCACGCCAAGGGGTGCAAGCGCAAGGAGCTCATCCCGGTGACCTGCTCCCAGTGCCACTTGAACTTTTGCCTCCGTCATCGCCACACCAGCGACCACGACTGCCAGCCATCGAGTGCGAAACCAGCGGCAGGACCTGGTTCATCATCATCGTCAGGCAGTGGAGGATGGCAGTCCATATTCAAGACCTCCTCGGACTCGAGATCCATGGCTGCTCAGGCCGCCGAGCGACGCAGGCAAAGTAAGCCAGCCACGAGCAATAGCATCAGCAACTCAAATTCCAGACCAAGAGCTGTGCAGGCCACACAAGTTCAAAACATACAGGGCAATATGGTGAGTTGGCACGCTAAGAGCGTTTTATAAATAGCACAACACTTTGGGTAAAGCAAATAGAGCCCATTCGTTATTGATTTACAAGGGCCCAAATATCTGAGAACAAAACCGAATAAGTAATCCTTTTTAAAAAACATAACTGAAAATATAAGGCTGGTTAATTACTCAGCAATTCCATTTATCAATTATTGATTCGTTTAATAACTGAATTACAAAAATATTAAACAGAAACTTGTCCAAATCTCTAGATCCTTCTAGAATGTTATAAACCCTCTCTCATTATATGAATTTATAACTTTTTAGAGCGAAGATGAGGCACTCGCGCGAGCCCTGGCCTTATCAATCATGGAGCAGGATGACGCGGCGGAAAGCAACCGCCAAGCACCAGGCCCAAGCAACGCCCAGCAGGTGGCTGTGGGCGGGGCTGGCAACCAGCAGGGAAATGCCAAGGACAAGTGCCTGCTGTCCTAGTTCGAGGAAGACTCCCAACTCTCAACATATCCATTACTTGACCAACAGCAAGAAATCTGCCCAACTATTAGCTATTAATATTTTGTTGTTAATTTACTTCGACTTCGTCACATTCTACGTGGTTTAGCAAAAATAAATCAATGTTAATTCTACATTTTTGGAAAGAATAGATGGAGTCGTTTAACACGGATCTTTAAAAGGGAAATAAGAAAAACAACCCTATTGCAAACCGATCTTACTCAGCTCTAAACAGATAAATATGGTACAAGGCTTAGCTACATAAATAGATACACGTAGTTATACACGATAGATTGCAAATTATTCAGAATTGGCCTGCGTGGGAGGTGCCGTAACTTGTGCCTCCGCGATCTTTTCCAGTGATGGTCCTTCCGCAGGAACCACTTCATTCTGCGCAGCAGCTTGCTCAGCCTTGGGCTCCTCCACCAGTTCGGATTTATTGGAGAGTGTGCTCAGTTTTCTGCCCACAGTAGGACCTTCCACCGAGGACGAGGTGCTGATTTTCCGGGCTGCTGCTGCAAAACTGGCCACTCCCTCGGCGGCCAAAATACTGGCACTGGAAAGCAGTATGGACACTTGCTCCGCCGACGGACAACTCGTGATGATCATATCATCTGTGGAGTAGCCATTGGTGGTCAATAGTTGTTCCAGCTTCACGAACGATTGAATGATGTTGTTCTGGAGGAGGGTACATAATAAAGTACATTATTTTTAAGGTGAGTATTGTTAAAGCTTACACGAATCGGTCGGAAGATAATGAACTCCGTATCACGATTGCTCAGATAGAGCTGCATGGAACGTTGAAGCACCGCCAACTTTGCTTTAATCAGGCGCTGTGTCTCCTGGATGATACTGCTTATCTGCTGCGGACTTGCCCAGGGGCTTTGCCTCAAAGCGTAGCTGGCTTTCCCAGACTCCGTAGATTGTGGCGCTGATGGAGTGACTTGCGCCAACAGGCTCTGCGCCTTTTCCAGAAATGTGACAAGGGGCCCCACCAGCATGTGCACCGCATCCTTAATGTACTTCTCACACACCGACTTTAGTTGTCGGTCCACTTCCTTTCGGGAGTCCAGCAAATGTTCCTTAATCTGCGGCGTGCCCTCCAGCAGGAATTCCAGCAGAGCATTGTTGCTGCCCATGGAAAAGAGCTGCTTGCGCTTATGCAAAAGACCAAAGGCAGCAGTCTTCACCTTGCTGAAGTCCAGTGATGTTTCCTTCACTGTGAAATCCACTCGGAACGGGGCAATCTGTTCCCGCAGAATAAGCAGATGCTTGATTTCAAACAGCTCCCCGTCAATGGGCGTCTTGGTGGCTGAAATCTTGCCAGCCGCATGCGAGACACTCTGTATGCAGAGCTTGAGCGCCTCCTGAGAGAGTCCTTGGAAAATGGGTCTATCCACGCAGCGGTAAAGCCGAGAGAGGCACACCAATGTCCGGCGCACCGTGGGATACCACATGCCATGCAGATCAGCAGGGGAATCTAAAGAGATGTCGTTTTAACTTCAGGTTGTCTTTAATAAGCTTTGTTATATGAACTCACTCATCTGTTTCACCCTGTAGGCAGTGTCCACGCTTTCAGTTTCCACAGCACTCGAAACACTAGATATCATTGAGGCGCGAGAATCCGAACGACGCAATGTAGGAGGTTCTTGAAGCGACAAGGCAATGCTCTGAAATACATAACTCAATGAAATTGATCAATTTAAATTAGCTTACTCCACAAACCTCCATCATTTCCAACTTTTCCGGGTAAGCCAGGTCTCCCGATGAGGGATTAAAATTTTGAATATCCGACTGGAGGTATAAATGCGCTCGGAATACCAATCGCTCTTGCACATCCTGCAGCAGCTGGTGAGCGATGGTTGCAAAGGCCTCCAGGGCAGCAGCTAGTCCAAAATATACGATTAAACTGGGTAATGATCAAAGACAACATTAACTTACGGTTCTGCTGAACGTGCTCCTCCAGCATTTCGATGCGCAAAATAGAGCAGATCTCTGCCAGTGTTTCCAAGTGATTAATGTGTATGATAAAGGGCCGCATGGTGTCGTAAAGAATGGTGCACAAGCCCTCCAGATAAACCCTGAAAAAAAGATATTATCAATCTTGGGTCCAATTCAATGTCTGTATATAGCTACGTCAAATGTGGAGCTCCAGTGCTAAAGAACTGGTAGAACAAACGCTGTTCATCCTGACAAACATGGACCAAGAAGGCGCAGGCACTCCGGGTCAGCGAGCAGTGATCTCCTTTGTGGGCCAATTTGACGTTTTGTATGGACAGATTAACCGCCGGCGACATGACGCTAGCCCGCTGTGCCAAATAGTGCTGCTGCAGATCCGCCATCAACAGGCCGTAATCCTGGCTGTGCTCCGAACGGGCCTCTATCAACTGAGCCACCCGCTTCACCTTCGCCGCGGCTGTCTGATATTTCCCGTAGTACAGGGCAAAGGCGGCATCTGGCGCTTTGAGGGCAGTGGATGCATCCGGCACATTGTTCTTGGGATGCAGCGTGGCCTCAGTGGCCTGGTTGATGACGCTGGTCACGTAGTTGCGCACCAGACCCGAAGCTTTGGCCAAGCACTGCCTGTACTTGACATTGTAGGCGGTGGCGTCCTTGAATTTGGGCTGCCAAGGGGAGTATTTAGAATATGGATGACCAAAAATAAAGACCACAACTCACATTCTCCTCGATGTAGTTGAGGCATTCGTCGATCTTGTTGAGGCACTCCCGAAACGCTTCGCTGGCCACCGACAGCGTGGGGCTCTGCAGTCGCTGGTTAAGCAGCTCCACCTGGCTAAAATAGTGCAGTCGGCGCTGGATCTCGTTACTCAGATCCTGGAGCTTCTCCTGCTCCTCGATCAATTGCTCACTGGCCGCATTCAAAGCGCTCGTCTTTTGCGACACAAAGTCGTACTCGTCGCAGAGGGCACCCAGGCGCTCCATGGCCCCCGCGATCTGGGCCAGCATGTGAGAGCACTCCGCCTTGCGCTGCTCCAGCTGCTGCAGGTATTTGTGGTAGTCGGCATCGCCACGTTGCTCTATCTCGGCGCTGACGTCCGCAAACCAGAGCAGGAAATCGTTCGTGTTCTGCAATCCCTCGGCGGGCAGTTCAATGTCGTCCCCGAATTGCGGAGGACTTGCTGCCACCTCGGATGGACCTGCCTGGGTCGGCGTAGTTGGAACCGGTGCCTGTAAACAAACGGCTGACTTTTAGATCCTTTTCAATCCAGGAGTACCCAAACTTACCGATGGTCCGCTGTCGTGCCACAGATTGGTCAGGACGTCCAGATGCTCCTCCTGCTGGACACTCAGCGCCGCCAGCGGGTCCGTCTTGGATTCCCATTGCATGAGACGGTTCCGAATCTTCCGGAGATTTTCATTCTCGCTCTGAGCGGAGGCGACGTCATCCATTTTTCTGCGGCGGATTTGGAAACAATCAATCAGCTGTTCAGCGGTGGCAGCACTACGCTTTGCAGTGATGACAGCACTAGCTAGAAAGGTGAATATGGCTACATAAGTATGGTTCAGGAAAATAATTTATAGCGTTTGTCCTTATATGACAAGCTGAAGCTTACCATAAAAATGATTATTTATTTAATTTTAAATTTAATTAAGCTTACTTTCTGGTTTTTAATTTTCTGTTAAACTTTTTAGAAAATGGTCGAAAATGTCGTTATGATTTGGTCCCGGTAAAAAATGGTCTAATTTGTCAGTAAAATAGCTAAGCTGGCAGCACTGTCTATAAACTTGCGCTAACCAACACTGCGACATCAAACATAAGTTCTCTTCTGTTTTTATTGAATTTTTACAAGATCTTTTCGGATAATACGGATTACGATGGCCCCGCAGCCGGTGGTAACGGGGCTCTCTCCAAAGGAGGGTCCTCCTGGCACCCGCGTCATCATCCGCGGCGAGTTCCTGGGCACTCGATCGCAAGATCTGATTGGTAGGCGTAGTCCACCGCGTTATCTTCTATTTTCTGATGACTTTCCCCAAAATTTAAGGCCTCAACATTTGTGGGTCCGATTGCCTGCTGTCAGCGGAGTGGAAGTCACCGAATAAGATCATCGCACGAACTGGTCCGGCGAAGGGAAAAGGAGACATCATAGTGACCACTTTGAGCGGCGGAGTGGGCACTTCGACGGTGCAGTTCCGTGCCTACCATGAAACCATTGGTCCGCTGAAGGAGTCCGCCGTGTGGATTGAGGAGTCGCCCTCGCAGAACTTCGCCTGGGGTCGTCGTACTCTGGCCCAATCCGGACTGACGCAGGAGGATCCGCTTGGCCTATCCATCGAGGGCAACGAGCAGAAGATCCCCGAGGATTTGCGCGACCTGTTTCCCGAGGCCTGCGGCGATCTGTCCCAGGAGCACTTTTCACCGGCCTGGTTCCTGCTGGAGAATCACCTGGCTACCTCCTTCGAGGATCTTAAGGCGGGATTGTCGTATTTGAAGCGGAAGGTGGAAAGCCAGAAGGAGGGCCAGTTGTCCTTCCTTAAGTCCAATGCGGGCTCTGTGATAGACCAGTTGGACACGCTGATGAACATTCGGGACAAGCTGCAAGAGGATGCAAAGCTGCACGGCAACGAGACCTTGAATATCCTAGAGACTTCGATTGAGAGTGAGTGGGACTTTTGTTTAAACGAATGCTATTGCAACATCTTCTCCTGCTTGCAGACTCCATCAGCGAGTCGCAGAAGATTTTTACAGATGTGTTGGTGCGAAAGGAGAAGGCGGACTCCACCCGGTCCGTCCTCTTCGCGCTGTCGCGGCACAAGTTCCTCTTCTGTCTGCCCAATGCAGTGGACCGACGTGCCAAGGCTGGCGAATACGACATTGTGGTCAACGACTACTCGCGCGCCAAGAATCTCTTCGGGAAGACGGAGATCCCCATCTTCCGCAAGGTGCTCGAGGAAGTGGACCACAGGATTCTGTCCATCAGGAAGCAGCTTCACGATAAGGTGGTGAAGATGCCGCAGAGCGTGGAGCAGCAAAAGAAGTTGATCAAGGCCCTCACCAGTTTGGAGCTGCAGCAGAGCGGAACTCCCATTGGCGATAAGCTGCGTAACATTGATCCCGCCTGGGATGCCATTGAGGCCAGGGCAAAGTACTTGGAGGGCACCTTCCGCCAGACCTTCGATCAGCACGCAAACAAAGATTCGGGGGCGCAGGAGAAGGTCAAAAGCAGGGATCCCACCCAGGCGCCAAGTCGGGTGAACTTCTGCGAGGAACTGTGCGACATTGCCGCCTCCCAGCTGCCAGATTTGTGGCGTCTGGGCCAGCTGTACTTCACCGGCGAACTGCGCGGCCCGCACGATCCAAAACCGGGTGACTTTAAGCGAATGATACTGAATGCTATCGAAAAGTTTTGTGTGTACCTGAGGTTGGCTATCCTTATTGCCGCGGATCAGCGTTCCCTGCGCCAGTCCAGCGGCCTGGCTTGGCCCATTGGCTCCGCTTCGGCCACACATCAGTTTTTGCCCTGGATTCCGCAGTGTCTGCGCTACACGAGGATCGCATATGCCACGCTTATAAGCTTGGACCTTCCCTCAGAAGCATTGGACATCATACAGAAACTCATCGACGAGGTGCGCCTCTTCTGTTTCTCGATTATCTTCAAGCGGGCCACGGATCGCTGCAAGAAGTTGGGCAGCCAGGAGACTTGGGAGCTGGGAGTGGAAGAGTATCCGGGTGCCACTCTGCTACCCGCCGCTCTGGAGGCACTGCTCACCGAAACGCTGGACGAAGTGCAGTCTGTGTGCATGCAACGGGAGACCCGGGAGGGCAATCTCCTCGAGCCCCAGTCGGACGGACAGAGGGAGGTGACACAGAGGCTGCAGGAGTTCCTTTCCACCTTCAGCGGGGTGATTGAGGAGCTGGCCTTTCACTCCCACGACGAGGAGACGCCCACCCACAATGTGTCACAGCTGCTGGGATTTCCCAACGCCCAGCAGCCGGACTCGGTCGTTGGAAGCGGCGGTGGAGCGGCCGTAACCTGGGAGCAGCGCATGCTCTGTTGTCTGGCAAACTATGCATACTGCAACAAGAGCTTCTTCCCGCGACTTGGTGATATCTTCGTGCGCTACGGTTACCCACTGCCCACCCTGGCAATCGAAACGGCCCGGTACACGGTGAACCAACTGTTCACAAACCTGCTGGAGGAGTACGTGGAGCACAAGGGCGATCCGCTGGTGGGGACCATCGAGCCATCTATGTACCTGGGTCGCTTCCAGTGGGATCACGAGATGGAGATCGGCCAGCTGCGGCCCTACGCCCACGAGTGCTGCGATAATCTGGTTGGCGTTTACTCCGAGATCTACAGCGTCTCTCCGGCACTGCTGCGACCGATCCTGGAGTCGATTGTGCAGACTATATCAGAGGAACTGGCCCGCCTGATGAGCTGTGTGCAGCGGTTTAGCTTCACAGGAGCGATTCAGGCGCATGTCGATATCCGGCTGCTGAGGGACTCCCTAGAGGGTTATGTCAATGAGACGGCCAAGTAAGCGATCTGTCTGAAGAACTTCTTGATAGAAATTTGTAGTCAATAACTAATGCTTTCTTATTCTTGATCCTACATAGGAACTACTTCATGGAGGCGTTAGAGGCCATTAATCCTCCCCTCAGTGGCGAGCAAAAGCGAAAAGCGGACGAGATTCTGGAGCGGGTGAAGCGAAATATGCGACTGCAGCTGCTCTGCTTCAGTGTCAAGGACCCCTAGGCACATTCCACTGCAAGGCGCAGCCAACGTAGATAGGTCATACTATAACTAGCTTGTGATTCCCCATGATCTGGGGATAAACCTTTATTCGATTGCAAAAACTCTCTTATTTTCTATCGCCTCACAAACCCAACATCTTTGGGTCGAAGTTAAAGTTGTTTTGGGCCATGTTCTTGATGACCTGCTCCACATCGATGGCGTTAAACTTCTCCTGGACGCGCTGCTTAATGGGGTTTTCGATGGCGTCCATGATCTGGTAGCGCAACAAGTTTGGAATCACGTTCACCGCAAATTCCATGACGTAGTCCAATGTGCCGGCCCCGTCGCATCGCACCTGGATGTTGCCCATGTCGAACTGCAGATCGGTGATCTGAGCCCGCTTGCGCGTGTCCAGTGACTGGCTCACGCCCACGGTGGCGCGTATATGCTGTACTGTGAACTGGACGTGGCCCACGCGTGTCATCATGCCCAGGCCCACCTCCCACTGGCCGGCTCCGGTCACCTGCTGGGTGCCAATTTGGAGAACCACCGACACCGTATTGTTGGCCATTCCAGCGGTTATGTTGCCCACCCGGTAGAAGCTCGAGATTCCGTTGATCCAGGTGTGGGCTAGTTGGATACTGAACACGCCCATGGTACGATTCACATCGGGCAAATGGTACGGGTCGTAGCCCTTCTGGCGCACCATCTTGCGCGCCATGGCTATGGCGCTGTCCAGCGGGGTTATGGAGTTGGGCAGCCGGCGCTCACCCAGGGTGTTCTTGATCATGGTGTCGATCTCGGTGCGCAGCTTCTTGTCCGCCTCCTGCAGCATAAATGGCTTCATCGTGTCGAAGACCAGACTGGGCGCCCCGTTAACTATGCCCTGGAAGACGTTGCCCACCATGCCGAGGTTCTGGAAGTCCATTGTCATGTCCGAGAAGGTGATGTCGATCTTAATGCGGTCCGTGACCAGGCGGCCATCTCTTTCGACCGCCAAAAATGCCGTTGCATCGGCATACACGTTCTTCAGGACCACGGTGAAGGGTCCGTTGCTCTTCGAAAAGAATGAGCTGAGCGTATACTGGCCCTTGACCAGCATCTGATCCAGTTGGAGGCCACCATTTAACTAGAAAACAGAGCGTACCAATTATCAATCGAACTACACTGCAATGCTAAAACTCACCTTCATCTCCTTTAGGTCTAGGTTAATTTTGTCAACGCGGAACTTAGACAATCCATAGCCCTGTACTTTCTTCATATCCAGATTGAGCATTCCCAAGTTCTTCTTTATATCGGGCACCTCCAATGGATCGGGCACGGGAACGCCGGGCAGGCCCTGCGGATCCTCCTGCTTAAAGTGCTCCAGCATGACCTCCACCTGGGCGGCAATGCTTGCCTGACTCTGCTTAATCTTAAGTGCGTCATCCGATTCGCTAGCTTCCTGCTCCACGACTGCTCAAAGGTCGAAAGTGAGTGGCTACGATTGTGTAGAAATAAATCTAGGATTGGGCTCACCTTCACCAGGCTCCTGGGAGTGGACAATGTGGCAGCTACTTGCCAGCAGTCCCACGAGCACAACCACTATCAACGGCTTCATCTTACGGGGATTAGGTTGAACTTCTGCTTATCAGTTGGGAAAACAAGGGAAACGCGCCAGCCTCCGTTCGCGACTCGGGACAAACACGCACTGCCGACTGGCGCGTTAATCAAAAGATAATGATGAGCCAGCAGGCGGCGAATCGACGATCAGTAGCGCTTATCTAAGGGCGACTCTTCTTGCGGAGCCGCTGATTAAACTCGGAATTGAGAATGAGTGACTTAAGTGAGCGGAAACAGCCACACATTTTCTTTTAGAGAGATAGTGTTCCTGAAACCCCAAACTGCATTTTGACTTTGAGTTTATTTTTGGTTTCGATGATAGGAATTTTGTTTTAAATTCTGTTTAAAACTAGAGTAGCCTTCTTTTCCCCAAATAGTTAAAATCGCAACATATTTCATAATAGCAATACCATATTTATTTGCTTTCGTTAAATATTTTTGTTATATTTTCGCATATATATTATGGCTATATATGGCTTAGTTTGTATTATTGTTTCTAAACATAAGTTCACGTGCTCAAAAAAATTCATGCTCAAAAAAATGTCTTAACCTATTAAAAAAATTGTCTTAGTTTAGAAAAAAAATGTTTTTTCAGCTCACAGCAACCGCATTTTGAGCAAAGCATTTAAGTTATTTTATAATTCGCTGTTCGTTAAACGAAAATTTCCTTTAGTTGTGACTATTGCCTTGCCCTTAAATAGATCTTTTCCTGCGGCAGCTGCAGAATTGCATTACATATTTATATGTAGCATACATCGCTTAATACTATACGACTATTGGTTGCTTAAAAAATTGAGTTTTGGAAACGTTTGCTGGATGATTACAAAAAGTCTAGGAAATCCTCAGGATGTAGAATGCTCCTAAAAGATATTTGGGAGTTGATTTGAGTGGTTGTTGCTTGATTAGAGGAACAAAATATGTTACGAATAATAAGAGATAAGAGGATCAGTGAGGATAATGCCCAGTGCTTTGACTAGTTATGGAGGCATTTAAGTGTTGAATAGAAACGTTCATAACATGAATCAAAGATATCCTTTAAAGGATAATTTCTGGGCATCACAAAATACATGTAAACAAAAAAAAATAAAAAAAAAGCACTATAAGGATAAAACAACATCTATGGGTGAGTCGCCTTGCTTACAAGTCATCCGAGCCGGACATGATCTCCTCAAACAGTGAGTGGGCATTGTCAGTGGCCGACAATCTGTCGCCGGCGGCAGAATTGCTCCTGGATCCGCCACTGACAAGCTCGTCCACCGTGTCGAGGGCCGAGAAGTTGGCCATTCCTCTACGTGTTCTTGTCCTGTATTTTTTGGCCGGCGGCTCGATGACATCCCTTTCCGGAACCGGGGGAGGTTGAGGCGATAGAGATGGGACTGGTGGCTCCGGCACCGCAGGCGGTGGCATCACGTACGCGTACTGGGGAACGGAATTGTTGGGATCGTTGTTCTGCAGCTGGACGCGCATGAAACCAACTGTGGCTGGGTCAACGGGCTTGTTGCCCTGGAAGATGTTAAAACCTGCAATAAGAGGTAGTTTAGAGAAGAACCGACCCTCCAAAAAAGTCGCTTACCCTGGTACTCGCCGTTCTCATTTTGGACCAGCACCAAGGGATGCTGTGACTGCTGCAGATTGCTCAAGGGCACTAAGCTGATGCCGTCGCCCGAAGATTCTGGTGCCGCCGATTCCCGTTGCTTCTCCTCTTGCTTAGCTGCGGCTATTTCTTCTGATTGCTCCATCGGCTCTGGCTCTTTTTGCAGCTCTTCGCAGTCTTCATCATTATCACTCTCAACAAAGTCTTCTTTATGGGGATTTTTGCAACACACACAATAGCAGCCAGCGCAACTATTGCCTGAGGTGTAGCATTGACAACGAGAGTTGCGGCAGGTGGTCAGGGTATTCGCCGAGCCGGAGACACCGCAGCGGCACTTCGGCTTCGTTGGCTTGTTCTTTTCCTCCTTTTCCTTTCCGCGAAACTTGCGGAAGGCACCCTTTCCAGACTGCATTTTGGCTTTGACCTCAGCCGGAGCAGGCTCAATTTTGGCAGCTTGCGAGGCTTTCAGACTACGGGTTCTCTTTCGTTTAAGAGGGGCTTCATCGGCACTGGCCTCATCCTGCAGCTCCACACTGTTGGGTAGCAACTCCTCCTCTGCCGCCTCTTCAGCTGCTGCTTCCAGCTCCGCCAAGTCCTTATCAAGCCGTTCCTCCTCCTGTTCTTCTGCTTGCATCTGGGACAGTTTCCTTTTGTGAGTAACTACCTCTTCCTCTGGCTCATCCATATGCGCAAGTAAAGGTGACTGTGAAGTTTGTATAGCCAACTGAGTGTTATCCTCTTCGTGCTCCACAATTTCCGCCAAAGCCTCTGATTCCACGCTCTCTTTGTGATCTTCAAAAGTTTCCAGAGACTCCTGTGAATCCTCGGCAGGCAGCTCATCCAACTGAGCGCAGATTTCATTGTGTTCTTCAACGGAGGACAGCACAGCCAACTGAGTAGAGACCATTTCTTGCTCCTCAATGGTGGTGGAGACCACAGCCAACTGGGTGGAGGTTTCAACGGTCTCCTCAACGGCGGCCAGCACAGCCAACTGAGTGGAGTCCGCCATTTGGACCACCTGGCCGATTTGCAGCTCTTGGGGATCGAACGGTGTGGACGCTGCCGTGGGCATTACATAGGAAACGGCAAAGTTAGTGCTGTTGCTGGGGAAACTGGACACAGAAACGGCCCCGGACAGGTCCACCTGGTCCGTCCACGGGTGTTCCATGAAACCGGACTCAGTGGCGATGACCATCTGTCCGCCATGTGACAGCAGGCCCATGCGTGATCCCGTGGGCAGCAGGGGAATCGGCGAGAAGTGACCCTGCTCGGCTGTGGCCGCCGCCTCCGCCTCGATGTCGCTGATGTTTAGGTGCTGATCGTAGGGCAGCTCCGGAGTGGTGGCTGCCGTTGTCGGCGGCGTCTCGGCGGGCAGTGATGTGGGCAGATCCTTGAGGAACGGCAGGTCCGGCTGGGGCAGGAAGGTGTCGCCCGTGTCCGAGATGTTGGAGCCCTCGCGTATGAACTCCTGGGTGGTCATGGGCGGCAGCTTGATGCGCGGCACCAGCTCCCGGCCCACCTGGGGCCTCAGACCGGCCAGCTGGCCGAACAGCGAGGACTGCAGGAGGTGGACGCACAGCGTCTTGTAGCAGAGCAACTGGATGCCCATCAGGCGATTCTCCTCGTAGGTCTTGAAGTCGGAGCACTCCTCGCACTGGGAGCAGTTGGGGAAGAGGCGCTTCTTGCCGCGCAGGCACAGCCGGCACACGTTGTGCTGGCAGCGCTTGCCCTTCGGCGAGTAGGGATCCACCAGGAGCTGGCAGCAGACCACGCAGGAGAGAAGCTGGCGAAGCTCCCCGACCCCGGAGTTCAGCTCGTCCACCCGTCGCTTGGAGAGATTCGAGGCAGAGCGCAGCGAGAGACGCGTCATCTTCAGGTAGACCGTCTGGGCCAGCATCGTGGCTATATTTCTATGGCCGGGACTGTACGAACGCCGGTGTTTGTTTACCACCCCGAAAGTGAGACTCCGCTGGGCAAGCTCACGCCGCCTCCTCGGCTACCTGGTTGCTCCTCAGTTACCTGTAATCCCTGCGCTCGCTGGAACTCAGATACACATACTCAATGCGCGTTAATCCTTGCTTTTTCATTAAATGGACAATTTATAGGATTGCTGTGGCCGTTTTTCACTTTGTTGATGCTGTATATCCTTAACACTATGTTTCACGTGCAAAAAAAAAAAAAAAAAAGGGGTTTATTTTGGAGTGGGGTCAAGTCATTGTTAATGGTTATACTGTACAGTATACACTTCAAAATAATAACTTAATTTAAGAACTAAAAAAAAAATTACCCGAGCAAAGTGCTGAGCGAAGCAAGTGTGACTGCAGCCTGACAATGTAAATATGCCTCATGTCGTTTCCAGCAGTATGACCGTTTTCACGGGTCAGTAAAACAGCTGACTTTAACTACACATCAGATTTTACGTTTTTCTACACTGCGGTCCTACTTCCGAATTTTGCTCTAAGTTTTTTAAGTAATTATGGTTTTTTAAAGTATTTTCGATCAAACGAAGCCTGAAACTGTTGGATTTATAAACTAATATAGCTTCCGCCTATTCTAGGGGAGACGAAAGCCAGAAAATGCCGGAGCCGCGCAGTCCAATGGCCAGTTTCGCCGATTCGGTGCTCAGTGTCATCGATGGACCCATAACTTGGTTCCGTGGTACGTAATGCAAAAGGATTGGCATTCGACATGGTCCTGGAAGGGTCCACATTCATTTGGAATGGGTTTCCAATGTTCAGCAACGGAAAAAAGTGGAAAAACTCCAGGCAATTACATAATGACATAACCTCAATACTCAGGCCATTTGTTTTTGTTTACACCACTCTGTTGAAATGGTATAAGATTTTTTGTTTTTTTAATTTATCAGAATAAGTACTTTGTTTTGAAGGAAATTCGGTAAAACTATAGATTAAACACTATACTTGCCCAAATCGTTAGAAAGAGAAATATATCCTTATTAGTAATATAGAAATACCGGGTGAATTACTTGATCATTTCCCAAATAAATTCTGTCTAAAAGAGAATATATATTTAAAATGATCTTTGAAAATCATTTAAAATAATTAAAAATCGTAATGTTTTAAACAGTTATCAAAATATTTTTGTAATACACTTTAAGAATTTTGTATAATATTTTTGAGAAAGTCCTAAATACACAAAAAACTAACTTAAATTTACTCCACAGAGAGCATTGTGGAGCCCAACCAGGAGAAGCAGAACTGGTACCACCAGCGCTTCCGTCGCGTCCCGACCATCGATCAGTGCTACACGGACGATGCCGTCTGCCGTTTCGAGGCCGATCAGCAGTTCCGCCGGGATCGCATGGTGGACAACGAGATCGTGAACATTCTGCGCCAGCGCTTCGAGGATTGCACCCTCTACGAGGCACCCGACCACATCGTCAAGTGCAAGCCGCTGCTGGACCAATACGAGAAGGCCACCGAGAACTGGTTCATTAAGTGTGAGTGTCCAAAAAGATCTGTGCGCCGCGTAGTCTTAGCCACTAAGTGGCCACCTACTGATCAATTTCCTCCCACTTCAGATGGCGACTTGGGTGGCTATGCCAATGCCAAGACCGCATACATGAAGCAGAAGCACCGTCTGATTTGGGAGCGTCGCCATGGACCCGTGGGCAGTGGCATGAAGGAGGAGGCCGCCCATTAAACTCCGCCCTTTTGTGCCCCCCGAGCCGATCTGAGCTGATGTTTTCTAGTTTCATTATCCGTTATAACTAAATATACGCACCCTGAAATGGTAAACCCCTACATTGATCTTGATTATAATTCTTTTTTATTCTGTGCAAAGTGTAAAATTAATTGCTAAGAATGACGCACTTAGGAAAAGGCGATAATCTCTTTAATTTGGCTGCGTTACCATTTTTTCATTTAAAAACCTTAAAAGTGGATTTTATAAATTTATTTTGCAGTTGTAAACAATTATTTTTTTCCATATTGATTAAAACGATTGCCTCGCTACAATTAAATAGTTTTCAATTTTTATTTATTTTAAGTGTATAATAATTTTAATTTTTTTTAAAGTCATTCTTCAGATAAAAGGTATCCAAATGGTTCTAAAATAGCCTATTAATTAATTTAAAATATGATTTCATATCAGTATCCACTTTGACAGTCTAAGGAAACTTACAAGCTATTAGAAAAAATCCTCAATAGAGAAACAGTCGTGAAGGTTTTTAAAGTAGGTCCTTAGTAAAATTCATAAATCAGTTTGGGTTCAAGCACTGCAGGATCTTCACAATATTTCTTAACCGGATAATTTTGTGAAAAGCGGCAGTTACCAAGAATACAATTTTTTGTTTTTTTAAAAAAAGAAATACCTGGTCGAACCAAATTTGGTTATTCCTTAAAAAAAGAAAAAATTACACTTTCCATATTGAAACTAGATGCACAATATTAGTTAACTATGAAATGCGCTATCGTTTATACTATAATTCAATTAGCTATATAACCTAATTTCTGAGCTCAGCTAATCGAGACTAGCGGTTTGTTCATGAGACTCTTTTTGAGCTTGGCCAGAGCGCTATTTCCGACCTTGCCGTCTCCTGGCTTCTTGTCCTTATTTTTGGGACCCAAGGGAATCATAGTTGTGTCCATTAACTTACGTCGGAATCCCTTGTAGAATTGCAGCACCTGAGGATTGGCCCACACTTGTTTGGCATCGAAGTCCAGGATTCGGATGGATTGGAGGGACTTAGCTCGGGATAAGGCCACGTAGGCCTGCCCAGCCTCAAATACTTTTGACAGGGACATCTCCACGCAGTCGAGAGTTAAGCCTTGGCTTTTGTGTATTGAAAACGCCCAGGCTAACTTTAATGGAACCTGACGACGCGTGATGATGCCTCCAGTGGCTGTTTTAATGATCCACTTCTCGTGCTTACAAATATATTCCTGGTTGTTTTTGAATCTTACAACCGGCAGATCCTTATCCATTCGTACAACCACGCCTCGGGCTCCATTAACCAGACCAGTGGATATGTTTATGTTCTTGAGCAGCATTACTTGGGCATTTACCTTTAGGTATAGTTGGGAGGGAGCCTGAATCTGTTGGTCCAGAGTCTTGGTCATGCCGGCGTCCGAATCTTCTGCCTTGAATAAAATCTTGCTCCCCTCTAGGTTTTCCAACTTCGACTCGTTAATAGAGTTAGCATCGTTGGTGTGGGAGCAAAGTTGGGTCGCCAGAATTCCATTTCCCTCAATTTTTTGCTTAGAAGTGGCAGCCAGACGACTGGTTATGGAATCATTCACATGACCGATTCGCAGATGATTTAGGATCTTTACGAACTCCGGATCCGACTGACGATGTACTTGCTTCAGTTCGTACACACACTGGATGCAGGTCTCCCAGGCGCTGGACTGGAAACAAAATCGCTGCTGCGGCGTGGCATTGGGCGCTGCTCCGAAATCTGCTTTTATAACTGGTGGAAGTTGCAGAAAGTCGCCGCACAGAATGAGCTGGATGCCGCCAAAAGGACGATCATTGCGACGAATGTGACGGGCGACGGCTTCGATTTTCTGGGGAAAGATGGAATAGATAAAATTAAGTGACTGTATTTTCACCGAGGATGATGTTTGTTTAGTGTAATTACTGGGATTGATTGATCTAAGAAATTTATTTTCCTTCAAAAATCAATCCCATTGGATTATTACTAGGCATTTTTATTTATGTTATGTACACTTGCTAGCCTAATAATATTATATTTGAGGGAAATTATTGGACTAAGTATGGTTCAATTGTATTTAATAGAGTGTGTTATGCAGAAAGACAAGTGGTACCTCAAAGAACTGCCCGTCCACCATGGAGATCTCATCAATGATCAGCCGCTTGCACGTTCGCCAGGTCTGGGCGCTCACCCGTCGAGAAGCCAGATCCAGGCACCTCTGCATGGTGGCGTCTCCCCCGCCGATTCCCGCGAAGGCATGCAAAGTGGTGCCGCCGATCAGGCAAGCTGCCACGCCCGTGGAGGCCGTGGCCACAGTTCCATCGGGCGGCAGGGCAGAGATGATCCTACGGAGTAGAAAACTCTTCCCCGTGCCCGCCGAGCCGGTGAAGAATACATTTTTGCCCGAGGTGCAGGCACGAAGCACCTCCATTTGCTCCTCACTCAGTCTCAGGGACTCGTCGCTGGCCGCTTGATACAGTTTCTTGGCCGCAGGCAGGCTGCCCCTGTCCCTTTCCTCCTTGAGCTCCTCGAATCGTCGCTTTTTGGCTCCCTGGGGCGAGGGCGTGGTCACCGATCCCTTGCTCAGCAAGCCCGCCTTTTTGCGCGCCAAAATCATCTCGGCCGTTGTGACCGGGGAGATGTCTTCGAAGCTGCTGGGTTTCCCGGACATCAGATGCTCCCGCAGTTTCTTCTGCACGGCAGCATCGTCCGGCTGACATCCTTCCGCGTTGCCGTTCATTTTAATGAAGATCGTGCGCAGGAAGAACATCAAAGTGCCCGGCGGAGCATTGGACAAAAAGAGGGTGCAGCTCTCCGCTTTGAAATTGAAGGTGGCCTTGCCCTCGGACATGAACTTCTTGTGCACCATGAGATCCTTGAGTTTGAACTTGAGCGGCTTCAGTTTTTCCGGCGTCACCTCCACAAACAATTCCCGCAGATCGTTCCGCACCAAGCGCAAAGTGGCCGTCTTGTAGGCCAGCTTTCGACCCGTAATGCCCACGGAATTGGTCCACTGCATGTTCACCGCACAGGTGAGCACTGCGTCGTTGAGGTCCATGTCTGTTTCACCTTGGCTTTAGTCAGTTTTAATTAAAATTTAAACGTAAAGTGAATCAAACTCTTCCCCATGCGTTTGCTTTGCTCGCCGATTGGCTTATCGATATCAGCGTGAAAATTATCGATAATTAGCGGGTGGCTGTGTGACCGCCGTTCGATCATTGGAAGAAAGCGTACAATGTTTGGAAGATACCAAATAGCAAAGTTTCATTCCAGGATCAGCAGTGACTCAAACCGGAAGCAGGATTTTATTTATACTTAAAATATCCCATTAATTATTATTCAAAGATTCATTTCTAAGTAGGCTTAGAAAACAACTTTTTTATATAACTCCCAGCTTAAAATTACTTTCCTAACAACTAGATAGCTGAAAAAAACACTAAAAAGCAAAGATAACTATGAATTTAGATTTAAGATTGATTGTGCGGCTCCTGCTTGCCATTCTACTGGGCTCTTTGATATCCACGGTTTTAATGGGCACTCAAATGCACAGAAGAATTATGGAATCTATGGTAAACAAAATCAACCAAAAGGTTACCCGTTTCGAAACAGAGATCCCAAAAAGACAGCTCCCACTAACTTTATCCCAAAATGAATTGGATATTTTCAAAACCCAGCGCAATGTAAACTTTCGCTTGCCACATCAGACAGCTGTCAAGGATTGGCACGATCATGTGGTCATCAAGGCGGATAAATCCAGGATCGGATTGGGTGAGCAAGGAAGGCCTGCCGAAATACCAAACACCAATGAAAAGGAAGAGACGGTTGAACTCTACGAAATTCATGGTTTTAATGCCCAGCTTTCCGACCACATTTCATTAAGTAGATCCTTGCCGGATATTAGACCTTTGAGGTGAGTTCTTAGTTAAATTGAGTTACCAACTTAACAACTCGAATAAATCACAGTTGCTGGAATCGCAAATATCTAGAGAGGTTGCCCAATGTGACTGTAATCATCGCTTTTCACAACGAACACCTCAGTGTGCTTTTACGATCCATAACGAGCATTATAAATCGCTCACCTCCCGAGTTACTCAAGCAGGTTGTTCTAGTGGACGATGGTAGTAATTTCTCGGACTTGGGACAAAAACTAGATGACTTTGTGACAATTAACTTTCCCAGTATAGTCGAAATACTGAGACTTACAGAGCGACGTGGTTTGATTAAAGCGCGGATGGAGGCAGCCAAAATAGCCAGCTGCCAAGTTCTGGTCTTCCTGGATTCCCACATAGAAGTCAATAATAATTGGGTAAATACGGCCCAAAAACATAATACTCATTAATGAGTTATTTTACTTTTTTAGCTACCTCCCTTGCTGGAACCAATAGTAATTAATCGGAGTATTGTCACTGGTCCCATTTTGGATATAATCTGGCACAAAACATTTGCGTACACGAAGTATAATTCGCTCACCCGTTCCGGTTTTAATTGGTGGCTTCAGATTCAGAGGCTACCGGTTTTCCCCGAAGATCAAGGATTCGGGTCCACGCCGTACCGAACTGCGTTGCTTGTGGGCGTGATGGCCATCGACAGGGATTACTTCTGGAATCTGGGGGGATACGATGAAGAGCTGGACATCTGGGGCGGCGAGCAGTTTGAGATGAGCTTTAAGGTGTGGATGTGTGGCGGCATGATGCTATATGTTCCCTGCTCCCGAGTGGGCCACATAAACAGAGGTCCCATGAGCCCGAAGCCGAACCCAAGGAGTTACAATTTTCTAGCCACAGTGAGTTTGTTATCCCCATTTAATGGTACCTTTTGAGGTATTCTCTGTTAAATACCAGCAGTCTTATTTTAATCTGCTGCATTATCTATAATATAATATATAATGATTCGAATACTTAGATTCGGAATATCCATATAAATATTTTTAATTTAACCGATTTTAAAATATTTAAATTTTCTATAATAACTCATTAATTGGCATTCTGGAAATTGCGTATACGCAATATTTAACCCTGTGAAAATTAAGTATACGAGATGATTACCAAAAAGCTTCATACAAATATTATGAAAATCATTATGTAGAAGTAATCAAATTGAATTAAGAATTACCTTTTAATAAAATAAATATATAACATGAATATTTTCAATAGAACTACAAGCGCGTGGCTGAAGTCTGGATGGATGAGTACAGGAAATACGTATACGACAGGAACCCCGAGCTCTATGAGAAGATTCAGGTGGGATTGCTTTCCGGTAGGAAGTCCTTGAGAAGAGCTTTGCAGTGCAAGTCCTTTGCCTGGTACATGGACGCAGTGGCTCAGGACTTCCTGAACAAGTTTCCAACTGTGGATGTAAATCCAATGGCGGTGATCTCGGGGCCCATTGAAAGTGTGGCCTATCCCGGATTCTGCGTGGACTCCCTAGATCGAAAGCACAAACGACCGGTGGTTCTCTCTCGCTGCATGGGAAATAGAACGAAGTCCGGTGAATATCAGCAGTGGCACCTAACAAAGGACCAGGAGATTCGGCTGATGGACGGTGGCGATTGCCTGGAAACCCAAGGCATCAAGTCAAAATCCGTGTGGCTTTTTCACTGTCACGAAAACGGAGGAAATCAGTACTGGTTCTACAACCGCCGCCATCGGTGGATCCAACAGGGCCAGATGTGGATATGGTGCCTCGAAGCCCATTTGCCGAATGGTCAAGAGGTTGGCAAGGTGCTGTCCAACAATGCCTGCCACAAAAACAATCCCAAGCAGCAGTGGAAGTTTGGAGAAATCGCTGTCCATGATCCGCAAACGCAATACCGAGGAGCCTAATTAAAACCATGGAATTAACTTATACAATATCAACAGAAGAATTATTTAAATTCATACTATTAATTATATCAAATATCAAATAGGATAATTTCGATTAAAATATTAAAAAGAATTTTCAAATTCAAATAATTATTTTAAAAAGTGTGTGCACCCTTTTCGAATCTAACCTTTAGTTCCGGAAACATCCGAACAGGAGCCGCCACCGTGACGCGCGCTCCGCTAATTTGAATTCGCATGCGGTATTGTTCAGTTTGTTATTGTTCTTTTCAGCCAACTTTTGCTTAGGTAAGAGCGGTATCTTCGCTTTACACGTCAGCCGGCAGCCGAGCTGCCTGTCTGCCACTGATTGATAGTGGAGAAGTGTGTTATTTGGCCAGCCAAAAATGGATCTTTGTTCGCCGCCTTATCACCGAGATTCCCGCCCTCGAGTTGCGAGGTTACCAATTACACTAATGAACCGCATTTTCTGCCAGGTGTCACCAGGCAGCCAGGTAGCTGCTCCTCCGCTGGATCGCCATGCCAGCAGTCAGTGCTTTGGAGTTCCACCTGCAAGACGTCCAGATGGCCATGAAGAGAAGATACGTGAAGCGCCTGGTGCGCAAGGTGATCCTTCTCCTGGTTGGCATCGCCTGCGTTTCCCTGGTCACCAGTTGGATAGTTGAGCGGCGGATGAGACAGACCGATGCAGATTCGGCGGAAAAACTCGACCCGAATGGGGATCCCGTGACCCCCTTTTTCAGGGCCGCCAATGTGCAACCCACTCGGAAGGCTCCACGACCTCCGTATCAGGATCGCAATTCTGTGAGAGAACTGCCCAAAAGCGACAAGCTTGTGGGTTTCCGGTTGCCGGAACCGGAAGGAGAGCGCAAGGACTGGCACGACTACGCGGCCATGGAGGCGGAAAAGAGGAGAATCGGTTTGGGTGAGCACGGAGTGGCAGCGCACATCGAAAACCCGGATGAAAAGGAGCTGGAGGCGGAGATGTCCTATATGAACGGATTCAATGGCCTCCTGTCGGACCGAATATCCATCAACCGATCTGTGCCGGATGTCAGACTTGAAGCGTGAGTGTATCTCCCAAATCTTAAAAATTAATCTATTAAAAAAATTGCAATACATAATTTCAGAGCCAAAAAAATAGTAATTAAAAATTTAACATCAAATTCCCCTTTCTTAACTTATAAAAAATGTAATTTCATAATTTAATTTGTTATTCGGTTTTATTTTATCCTTACAGTTGCAAAACCCGGAAGTATCTGGCAAAGCTTCCCAACATCAGTGTGATTTTCATATTCTTCAACGAGCACTTTAACACCTTGCTGCGATCCATCTATAGTGTGATAAATCGCACTCCACCGGAATTGCTCAAGCAAATTGTTCTCGTGGATGATGGCAGCGAGTGGGAAGTGTTGAAACACCCATTGGATGACTACGTGGAGCAGCACTTTCCCCATCTGGTGACAATAGTGCGATATCCGGAGAGGCGAGGTCTAATCGGAGCGAGGATAGCAGGAGCCAAAGTGGCGATCGGGGAAGTTATGGTCTTCTTCGACTCCCACATCGAAGTTAACCATAATTGGGTAAAAGTGATAAAGATATATATTCCCAAACATTTATTATAAGGAATTTTGATCTACATTTGCACTTCATATCATTTCATCTCAATGATCTTTACTGCTTTTTATATAGTTATAAAAGAAGATCAAATGTAGATTCATTTTAGGCCAGAATTTTGTATATGTTTTATGTTTATTTTGATATGATAAATATTGACCAACATTATTATTATTTTACATTCTAAACTCTGCCCTTTTTAGCTTCCCCCTCTGATCGAACCCATTGCCATTAACCCCAAGATCTCCACTTGCCCCATTGTGGATATTATTGCGCATACTGATTTCGAATATAAAGGTGGATATCAGGAAGGTTCTCGTGGGGGATTCGACTGGAAAATGCTGTACAAGCAACTGCCTGTTTTGCCCGAGGACTCTGTGGACAAGTCCATGCCCTTCAGGAGTCCCGTGATGATGGGCGGCCTGTTTGCCATCAACACGGACTTCTTCTGGGATCTGGGTGGCTATGACGATCAGCTGGACATCTGGGGTGGGGAGCAGTACGAGCTGAGCTTCAAGATCTGGATGTGCGGAGGCATGCTGCTGGATGTGCCCTGCTCCAGGGTGGCGCACATCTTCCGAGGACCCATGAAACCAAGAGGCAATCCCAGGGGGCACAACTTTGTTGCCAAGGTCAGAATAATATATATTTTATTTATTTTAAGGTGCATGTTTCTTATTCGTTGTTTTTAGTTTTATTTTTTTTATACTAAACAAAACAATTTTTTCATTTTTATTTTTTACCCAAAAACATGATTTATTATTTATTTATAAACTTAAGCCACAGGTAGAATTTTCTGATTCATTAACTAAAATTTAAATTTGAAACGCAACACTCAACGTGTTTAACTAATTTATAATATTTACAGACATTTTTATGGGTTACTTATTTTACTGAAATATTTTGGAAAATATTTTTTAAAAACGCTTAACATATTTTTTAGAACCACAAGCGCGTGGCGGAGGTTTGGATGGATGAGTACAAGCAATATGTGTACTCCCGCGATCCGACGACCTACGACAACCTGGATCCGGGCAACCTGACCCGCCAGCACGGGATTAGGGAGCGGCTGAAGTGCAAGAGCTTCCACTGGTTCATGACCGAGGTGGCCCCCGATTTCCTGCTCAAGTTCCCGCCGGTGGAGCCGCCGTCCTACGCCTCTGGCGCCATCCAGAGCGTGGAGTTCCCGATCTACTGCCTGGACAATATGGGCCAGGGCACCGACAAGGCGGTGGGAATGTTCAGCTGTGCGGACAACAAGACCCATCCGCAACCCAACCAGTTCTGGGAGCTGGGGCCCCATCGAGATCTGCGGATGAGGGACTCCGACTCGGTGTGCCTGGATGCCCACGAGGCGCCGCCAAATGCCACCGTCTGGCTGTGGAGCTGCCACAGTCAGGGTGGCAACCAGTTCTGGTACTACGATCGCAATAGGCAGTGGCTGGTTCATTCCCGCAATGGCGATCGCTGCATGGAGGGATTCGTGGAGAACGGCGTTGCCAAGGTGGTGACCAATATGTGCAGCCAGGACAATCCACGACAGCGCTGGCAGTTCGGATTCGTGAACAACACCATGATGGACAAGTTCTACGAGGGATTGGTGTAGTCATCTTCCGAGTGAACCAAACCACACCCATTTAAACAAACCACAGCCACATGTCGATCAGCTAAGTTCGGGGACCTCCATCGTCACGGGTTTAGTTCATTGATCGTTGTGAAGGTTTCAGAAAAAGTTCGCCAAGTAAATTCCATTTTTCCATTAATTCTTGCCCCATGCATTATTGATATATAGCTGCGGAAAGTGAAAGATCTGGACGACCAGATCGCAATCACAGCGAAGATTCTTTCTGATTGCAAGCCACAGATTCTGCTCTTTATTCGCTGTATATACACTACTATATGTAGGTATTATGGTTTCGATGAGATCTTTAGTAACATTTTGAAGTTTAGAATTTCTTTATAAAGTATTGTACGCATTTTCTCAATGACAATAAAATTAATTAAAAGGGTAACGTTCTTATATTATATTAAAAAAGTTGTTTAAATATACAAAAGGCACGCTTGTTTACATGTGAATTTTTAACAATATTAAAAGGTAAATATTATAGTAGAACAGTTAGCTTAACCCTTGCAAACACGTAAAAGCATTCTTTAAATTTAAACAAGAAATGAAAGCTAACTTCGGGCGGAGCCGAAGTTGATATACCCTTGCAGAATACTCTGTAAATTATATTCTCCAAAATTATTCATATGATGCATTCTTAATACTCATAAAAAATCCCAACTTCCTAACTTTAAAAACACCAAAGTTATGGCATTTCCAATCGTTCAGTTATATGGCAGCTATAGGATATAGTCGGCCGATCCTTATGAAATTTGGTAGGTCGGATTGATTGGATTGAAATAAAACCCATAGAAAATCCAAACTTCCTAACTTAACAAACACCAAAGTTATGGCATTTCCGATTAATCAGTTATATGGCGGCTATAGGATATAGTCGGCCGATCCTTATGAAATTTGGTAGGTCAGATTGATTGGCCAAATATAAGACCCATAGAAAATCCCAACTTCCTAACTTTACAAACACCAAAGTAATGGCATTTCCGATCAATCAGTTATATGGCAGCTATAGGATATAGTCGGCCGATCCTTATGAAATTTGGTAGGTCAGATTGATTGGCCAAATATAAGACCCATAGAAAATCCCAACTTCCTAACTTTACAAACACCAAAGTAATGGCATTTCCGATCAATCAGTTATATGGCAGCTATAGGATATAGTCGGCCGATCCTGGCCGTTCCGACTTATATACTGCGTGCAAAGGAAAGAAGGGTGTGTGCAAAGTTTCAATTCGATATCTTTAAAACTGAGAGACTAGTTTGCGTAGAAACAGACAGACGGACAGACGGACAGACAGACGGACAGACGGACAGACGGACATGGCTATATCAACTCAGGAGGTGATCCTGATCAAGAATATATATACTTTATAGGGTCGGAGATGTCTCCTTCACTGCGTTGCACACTTTTGACCAAAATTATAATACCCTCTGCAAGGGTATAAAAAGAGATACAACTCTCTAGTATTCCTATTCTTTTGATTAATATTTTCGACTGTCGAAAACCTTATCAGAGGGGCTGTTGAACTTTCTACAAGGGGGAAAGAGGAGTCGCTAGAGGTAGCAGACCCCAGATAGACTAGGAAAGACCTCACCCCTCCCCGAACCCAAACATATTGTTTAGCTGATGTAATTTAAGACGCAAATTACGCGGTTGTTCCAGGAGAGGACGAAGATCGAAGATCCCTGGATGCCAGCAGGCAATGACTTAGCGTCAAGCAGTCTCGATCTGGGTTGGCTTTATCCTTATCTATGCAGTCGGACGGTTCATTATCTTCGAGACAAAAGCACATGCTAATTTATAAACAGCGTGTTGTTGTTTTGGTTATTTCCTCTCAATTTTTTTTCTCAGCGTTTTCATGTCTTTTGTGCACAAACAAATGATTTGATTTTTTGGCCAACGCGACGACGACGGCGCTTCTCATTCGAATTCACAGAATGTGGGTCATCGACGTCAACGGAGATGCGGTTTGTGATGGATGCTGATCTCGTTTGCGTCTAAAAATTCACTTTTTTAAGGCAGTTTGGGTGTTATGTGATTTTTGTAGTACCTAAAATAAATGCACTAAAGGATATACCCGTTTGTTTACGGTTTTAAAACTATTTCTTCGGTTTTTTGCGATATTTTCTTGGAAACTATTTATTACTGAATACCAATAGAGTGATTTCCATCTTAAGTATCAAAGAAGACTAGAGAATTTGTTACCGCTAAGACATTATCTTACACTCTTTTAATTATTTATAAATTATAATAAACAAGAAAGTTTAATGACTTAATAAGATGCCATATTTTGCTTTATCAAATGTTTTAAATTTTATGAATTTTTGAAATAGTTCAAGAACTTGTCAACTTATTTCTATAAACAATATTTTGGCTTTCTTGTATTCGAAACTTTAAATTAACATTGTAACAATTCAAAATAAAGAATCTAATATTTTTTTGAGTACATTTTTTCAGATTGTTCTCCAAAAAATATACACAATTCGTTTTTGAAAGAGCATCCACATTTTGTTAGTCCCCATCTCCTTAACGACATTTTCATTTGTTTACGTTTTTTCTTGATATTCGCTCGAGTCGAAAAATAAAAACAAGTTGATTTCGTCTAGCGCTCATTCACAACTATCTCAGACTCGTTTAGAAATAGATCCCCGAAGGTATTGACCCACGCAAGCGGATGGTGCAATTTCATCAGCCACCCCGAAAACAGATTTCTTCCGAATTGTAGCATAGTATGGTATATGGTTTATGGTATACCTGTCCCCCGGCGGATTGAAGGAACACCCCTGAGCGCTCTGAGAACCGGCTAAGAATTTCTCAAGACGCATTTTCCCTCGGCTGCAACGCAATAGGAAAACCTCCTGCCGTCTCTTTCGCTGCGGCTATATGTGTCTCTCTCTCTGCGCAGGTACATATCTCCGATGAAACCGAAAGCGAAATCCGAACTGGTTCTTTGAGGGTTGATAAGCCCTAATGGAAGAGCCGGTCGTACGGTCTCTCACCTAAACTAAAAAACAAACATATCTGCCGGCACGTAGGGCGGTTTTTATGCTGTGGACTACGTGCAAGATGACACGGCATAGTGCTCTTCATTTCTAGGTTCTAGCTCCCTTGTTTACCGTTTGCCTTTTTGGGGGTCAGTCGGTCCCATCCATTGTTTGTAATTGATGGATGTGGGTCAGGCTTTCCCAGCGTAATCTGGTGATTTTCCTACCCCAAAAAAAAAACCGTTCAAGGTCTGAAGAGTTTTCCCCCCATGCTAACCCATAAATATTAGCACGCTTAAGTGCTGACCTTGTGCAGATTCATAGGTGGGCGCCACCTCTTGTCCCACATCGCGATCGTTAAACATAGATCAACACACGTGGCAACCTTACGTTAACCCCACATCTCGCGGAATGGCCCGTGGCCAAAAACCGAATTACGTCGAATCGTGGACATCGACGCAAGCAAAAGTTCCTTTAGCACTATTTACATGCGTCCAACGATTAAAAATCGTCAACATCGCCTCCGCACGGCGAAATCCGCTCGTGCCGCTACTTAGAAACACCATGTCTCTGCTGCGATCGATGGGGAATATTATTTTTTCTAAACCTCAAAGAACTCGGGAACTAATGGGGGCTTAGGTTCCGATTTTGGTATGTGGGTTTCTTTTATGGAAATAAAACATTGGTAAAAAAATGGACTCAATTATATACATTATTGTATATAATATCTAAAAAATCAGAACTAGCAAAAGTGGTTAGTGGTCTTTTCTGCTTAATGGTACTTATGCTTCTTGAATAATTAAGGGGAAATATGTTTGTCCACAAAGTTTTTGGTTAAGTCCATACGAAGCATATTTTTCCCCATATTAACATGTACAAAATGTTTTGCTTAAAGCGAAGTAATTAAAAACAGCAAGCTTACGTCTTTACTAAGTTCTGTAAACTTTGTATCTTTTCCTGTTTATAGTTTTTAAATAGTTCGATTTAGGTTAGACTGGAAATAAATTGTTTCCGCATTTAAAAAAACATAAATACTGAGTATCTTCTAGCCAAAAACCTCCTTTACCAAATAACACTTTTTATTGATATGCTCTCTGAGTATGAACATGCATAGGAATACATTGAGAACCTACGTCAAAGTTTGTAGGCGACGTGTCGCTACGCTAATTAATTGTATTTCGTGACAACGAGTGCAAATTAGAAGACCCATGGAGCGCAGACAGTACTTCCCGAATTTCTTTGAAACACCTTTTGCCACCCATTGATAACATCCCACTTCCACCTGAGTCATCTCATTTCCCCAGCAAGATTGATAATAGACGTTTTTGAGAAAAGAATGCGATTGCCGTTTAGTATTGCTGGCTAACTTGTTTACCAATAATATTACCGTGCATTAAACAATAACAAATGGCTAAAGATAAACAAGAGCCCAAGGCGAGAAGCCCCTCAAGATAGCCCCCCCTCACATGCCCCTTATCTCTGGAAATGTCTGGGTTGTGCAGCGGTCTCCCCTGCAACAAAAATAAAAACAATGGGCGGGTTATTAGAATAAGGCAATGACAACAACAAGAACCTCCCGGTTTGTCATAAACTACGCAGAAAATACACCCAGATAAAAACAAAAACATCAGCCGACCAAGCAAAATAATAATCAGGCGAGTGAGAGCAAGAGAGTGGGTGAGTGTGAGAGTGGAGCAGTGGGAGAGTGGCGGATTGGGAGAGAGCATAGGTGCGCGAGAGCGCAAGAGTCGGATGGGGGTATAAATAGAGCCCGCTTCGTAATACCGCCAGCAATCGCTTAGCGAACAGCCAACGGTCATCGTCTAGTAGCCATCTAGTAACTTCACAGCTGATAGGAAATACAAACAACGCAGTTTGTGTAAACAATCGAATTGTCGCAGCCATATCGAGTGTGCTTACAAGTCCAGCGGAAAGTTTCCAAAACCACTACAAAACAAAACTATCAATAAAGATGTCTGCTTCACCGACCGCCCGTCAAGCCATCACCCAGGCTCTGCCCATGATCACCAGGAAGATCGTGATCTCGGACCCCATCCACATGCCCGAGGTCTACTCCTCGACCCCCGGCGGCACCCTCTACTCCACCACCCCCGGAGGTAAGTTTCAGGCAGAGCAAATTGGGATTACCTATCACAGTTTACATAAGTCATTAATAGAATTTGAATAATTGAAAACCAATTAAATTAATATGATAAAGACCATTTCAAATTTAAAATGTAAATTTATTCATTACAAGTGCGTTTATACTTGTTAATTAAATTAGCCACAATCTCAAGCAGAATCCAAACCAAACATCTAATCATAATTCCCTTACCAAATTCCAATAATAAGAAGCACTTTTTCCTAAACAAAACAAAAACCCATTCTCAGAAGAACAAAAACCAAACAATTAATATTCCACCTTAAACTAAACAAGCTAGTTAGGCCACTAAATTATTTGTTGTGATGGAACAGCTCTAGAATATATGAAGGCCTTTCCTTCTTTGTGCAAATTTTATGAAACCTTTATGCAAATTTATTTTTAAATACCCAACTCACCTTTTTTGTTTGGCTGATGAAACCTGGTCATCCCACTGAATCAGTCGGCTTGATGACAATCCAGAGCACATGTGCTCGGGGTTCGTGACTCAGTATCAGCTCGAAAGAAATGTTTACGCAGCTGTCTTATCAGTGGGGAACTTTGAATGCCTTTGAATACCTGATGCAACACAGACACCCTGACTAATCAACACCTCCACTTTTGCATTTTTCCAGGCACCAAGCTGATCTACGAGCGGGCCTTCATGAAGAATCTGCGGGGCTCTCCCTTGAGCCAGACTCCTCCGTCCAATGTTCCCAGTTGTCTGCTGAGGGGCACTCCCCGCACCCCATTCCGCAAATGTGTGCCCGTGCCCACGGAACTGGTCAAGTCGACCAAATCCCTGAAGATCGAGGACCAGGAACAGTTCCAACTGGATCTGTAGGGGATCTGTCTCAGGCACCAGACACCCACCAAGCAGCAACTGCCAAAACCATTTAGTTCTTAGATAAACCCACTAAAACCCGATCTTATAAGCTTAGTATGCATTGTTTTAGCCATATCCATTAACTAGATGCTAAGTTCTTAGTTCTTCCACTTTGTTTTGTTCTTTCGGTCATATTGACTTTGTAACTTGTAAAACTGTAGACGTTAAGTAAAAAGCAATAAAAAAATACACATTATTTAAAAAGAACCTATCTGTTGGTCTGTAAGGGGATTGAAATAATCAACGTCTGCTATTAATTACTGTTTATGTTTGAGAAGTACATGTGCGAATCCGCAATTACTTTCTTTATCAGCGAATGAACCTTGGGAGGCGCGCCACGCGTTTGATAGAACACTTTCCACTTCACCTTGAGTCAGTTTCGGTTTAATATTATTTCTGGCAGTTTGTTGAACTGTTTGAAATACATATTGCCAAAAGGGGGGTTTTGGGGTGAGGAATTAACATAAATATGGTGCTGGAAATACCGGCCGGCTTTTTAGTTAGCCAGTCAGTGGCCCCAGCAGCGCGTGTCCCAGTTATCGAAAGAATATATCTATGAGGTGTATACATACATACAACCCAAACAAAAGATCAACAACGCGTTTGTGTATATATGTATATCTTAAAAACCGGCAAACAAGCCCAACAAAAAATAGATCTTTAAAAACTGCGCAGTTAGGCAAAGACTGCCCGTTGCTTCCCATGCCTCCCTTTTCCCCATTTCACATACACAAGTATTATGCCGAGCACATGTTCAGATAGACCGATCCCTACATCAGAAACAACTACTGATCCCGGCACGTTCCAGCCCCATTTGCATACTGCGCATGAATAATTACTTAATGGCAAACAGGCGCTGGCGAAGTGTTTGCTCGGTAGAGATTTAGCAACGCAGTGCAAAAATTCGACCATACGAGATAGTGCAAATAGTTCTGTGTGATCTACAGATGTTTACAGAGTTATAAATATAAAGCAATCAATTTAATTCATTAAGTAAACTACGCAAGCAAGTCAAAACAAATAGTTTGTAATTAATTCTGAATAGAATAAACCATGAACAAATGAAGTTACGCATTAGTGTTAGGTATTTGCATCTTTCTAATACTGAATAAATATAATTTTAAATATGCTTCCATTAAAATAAGTACAAAATTGCTTGTCCAAACAAGAGAATATATTAACTGGAAATTAAAAAATTCAATTAAACTTAAAATTTTCATTTAGTAAAAAGGTGTTTAAAATTTCGCGCCATCTTTTTGTAGTATTTTCACTTTTTGTTACTTTTACCATGAATGTATAAATAATATAGTATACTTTTAGGTAACAACAGCAATCATTTGTAGTTTCAGAAGTGCTCGCTTTTAAGATCGTTCGTTATATTGTGATCTATTCTGAGTTGGACGCCCGCTGCACTTTTATGCCCATAACTTTTCTTACAGAAATCTGATTTTAAAATGGCATACCTCTAAATGATTCTGGTTTAATTCTCTAAAAATCTGTGTACCTAACTTTTTTTTGTTTTTTGGGTCGATTTTTCGTCATTTTTACAGTGTTACCACTTTCCAAATTTTTGAAAAATGGCCTTGCAGAAAAGTGACCTAAAACCTGCACTTCTAAGCCCATAACTTTTCTTGCAGACATCCGATTCCAAAGTGGCTCACATCTAAATGATCGTGGTTTAATTCTCTAAAAAACTGTATACTTCGTTTGGTTTGTAATTTTTTGTCGATTTTTCGTCATTTTTACAGTGTTACCCCTTTCCAAATTTTTTAAAAATGGCCTTGCAGAAAAGTGACCTAAAACCTGCACTTCTAAGCCCATAACTTTTCTTGCAGACATCCGATTCCAAAGTGGCTTACATCTAAATGATCGTGGTTTAATTCTCTAAAAAACTAAATACTTAGTTTGGTTTGTAATTTTTTGTCGATTTTTCATCATTTTTAAAGTGTTACCCCTTTCCAAATTTTTGAAAAATGGCCTTGCAGAAAAGTGACCTAAAACCTGCACTTCTAAGCCCATAACTTTTCTTGCAGACATCCGATTCCAAAGTGGCTCACATCTAAATGATCGTGGTTTAATTCTCTAAAAAACTGTATACTTCGTTTGGTTTGTAATTTTTTGTCGATTTTTCGTCATTTTTACAGTGTTACCCCTTTCCAAATTTTTGAAAAATGGCCTTGCAGAAAAGTGACCTAAAACCTGCACTTCTAAGCCCATAACTTTTCTTGCAGACATCCGATTCCAAAGTGGCTTACATCTAAATGATCGTGGTTTAATTCTCTAAAAAACTGTATACTCAGTTTGGTTTGTAATTTTGGGTCGATTTTTCGTCATTTTTACAGTGTTACCCCTTTCCAAATTTTTGAAAAATGGCCTTGCAGAAAAGTGACCTAAAACCTGCACTTCTAAGCCCATAACTTTTCTTGCAGACATCCGATTCCAAAGTGGCTTACATCTAAATGATCGTGGTTTAATTCTCTAAAAAACTGAATACTTAGTTTGGTTTGTAATTTTTTGTCGATTTTTCGTCATTTTTAAAGTGTTACCCCTTTCCAAATTTTTGAAAAATGGCCTTGCAGAAAAGTGACCTAAAACCTGCACTTCTAAGCCCATAACTTTTCTTGCAGACATCCGATTCCAAAGTGGCTTACATCTAAATGATCGTGGTTTAATTCTCTAAAAAACTGTATACTCAGTTTGGTTTGTAATTTTTTGTCGATTTTTCGTCATTTTTACAGTGTTAAGGAAAAATGGCCTTGCAGAAAAGTGACGTCATAAAAAGTAGTTTTTCCTTGCCCAAAAACCATTATAGCTCCTTCCTATTGTTTTTAACCATATTCGTATTTATTCGATCAAGTTTCGATGTTTCGCATAGGACAAATGTACAAGAATCTCAGATAGTTTAAGCATGCTTAGGGTCTACACAAACAAGAAGTGGTTTTAATTACATATTTACAATAAAATATACATGTTTTCATAGATGCAGATGTAGATGTGTGTGTGTGGGTAAGGAAGGTAGCCTCTCTACTTGAATCTCAGCAGGTTGTCCACTCCGCCCAAGGGACCATGGCCGAAGTGCAGGGCATCCGAGGTGGACTCCGACCGGGTGCGAGCCTCCAGGACGGAAGCCACCCGCTGCTGGCCACTGATGTAGCCCAGGGATCCGGAGCCCAGGTACACATTCCCATTGGGCAGCCGCACAAAGCCCAGTCCACCCGATCCCAGGGCTATGGCATCGCCACCCTGCGATCCTCCCTGGGATCTCGGCTGGATGGCCAGCTGCTGCTGGGCGAGGAGCAGGGAATTGGCCCGCGAATCGATCTGGATCCCATTCGCCGCCGGCGAGCCTACATGTGCTCCGTAGCGATCGAAGAAACTGGAGCCCGTGAGGAATGGAGCCGGCGTCTCGTCCACATCGTTGTCAATGATTTCGATAACGGCATACTGCTTCAGCTGCCTGCCGTTGGACTCGTACGATTCCCCGGGAGAAATCAGGGCCTGCTTGCCGAAGGGTATGCGCAGATTTCCACCCTCCGCCAATGGAGCTGGTCCCGTGGGCGGCACCACAATGGGCGTGGCCAGGGTGGGTATGGGCTGGGGAACCCTCACCGGTGGAGGTCCGTAAATGGGCTTGAAAGTGGGCGCTCCGTGGAAGCTAATGGATGAGATGGGGGCAGCCACCGGAGGTGGGATGTAGGTGGAAACCACCGGCTTGGGCGGCAGATAGTGACTGACGAAGCTGGCGGCCGGAGCTGTGGGCCGACTCCTCGGAATCGGGATCCTGGCCGTGGGCAGTGGAGGAAGGGCCGGGATCGGTGGCAGTGGATGGATCGTGGGCAGGGCACTGAACTGGTGACCCGAATACACCGATCCGGGACCTGAGGGCGCCGAAGGTGCCGTGGGTCTCGTGGGCCTGTTGTAATGATAGCCCACATCAGCTTTGCTGTAGGCCAACGACAGAAGCAACAGCCCCAAAATACTCAGTCGGTGGTAAGGCATCTGAAATTTGCATTGAAAGATTAATTAACAACTAATAAGAAGAGGAAGTATAAAGTTACAAGTTAGCACACATCCAGGTGGCTTATGTCATCACATAACCGCTCAATCAGTTCGATAAATGTTTAATGAGCAGTCGTAAACATAATTGATTCAAAATCACTCAACTCTAGCGTTACCTCTGTCTATAAGGTAGATACTCTGTAAGCTAAAGGGGTATATTCGATACTTAAATTAAGTAGCCTAGCTGTAAATATGAAATACGAAGTTAATATAATATGAACGCAATTTTCAAATGTATCTTCCTTAATATGCGTTATTGAATCCTGAATATATATTTACTTTATTGGTAAAGTGACTTCAGTCTATTTTAATAGCCAAAGCTTTAGCCAGCCAAACCAATTGGTTAATTACTTAATTTATATTTTATCTACGACAATTATTTTTTAAAACCTTTATTTTTTCTACCAAATAAGGCCTATTTACATTAACTGAAAGAGTATCCACCTTTTAATCTCTTGAACTTCACTCTTTTTGATTTAATTGATTTAATTTTGCAGTGAGCCGAGTTAAAAGTAACTGGTTGCGATTTGCGGGAGATCGGTGAATCGTTCAGTCGTTGAATCGCTGGCTCGATTTAGCCGCTACTGTAATTGGCGTGATATTTCAACCACAGATGATTGCCCAAGGCGGCGATCATAATGGGAGGCGGTGGTCAGAGGAGAGCTACAAGCTAATTAGCAAATCGGATGGCCAACATCTCACAGTCACCAGGGGTCTTTCGTCCATTCACTCCGTGGCGCCCCCCACAAATCGCCAGCCAATTAAATCAAATCGCTGCACTTAATTGGATATTTATATTCATTCGTCCTATTAACACTTCCCACACAAATAGCCCTCCTTTGTGCGGCATTATCAATCTTCTTGGGCGCACTAAACAAAAGCCAACAGCAAGGCGGGCGGCTTAATGATATTTATCAACTAGCAGTCGCCACCAATAAACAAACAGCAATGCACTAAAAGAAAACGTTTAAATTTTCCATGTTTTTTAAATAAAAAATATTGAGTCTAACACATCCCCCTAATTTATATTTACTGGTACATCTGATTATTTGATTAATCTTTTGGTAAAGTTAATTTAAAGGTTTGGATTTTAATAATAAATAATAAAATAGAATTGTTTGGAAAATTAACCTAGTCTAATTGGAAAGGAATAAAGGCGTTCCTCCAAAAATTATTTAAACCTAAATAAACTTAGATTATTTAGTAGAAGAAATATTTTTCTATTTTTCCTTTTCAAAATATATGTTTGAAATAAGCCAGACTGTTTAATTTTGTTAACATTATATCGTAATGTTTTTTCGCTGTGTAGATTCAAAAGCAAACAGCCACTGTAACTGGCAGCAGGTTCAAACTTAGGGGCCATGGTTGAAGGGGGACGAGGGGGCGGAAAGGGGGCGTGGGAAGTGTGCGGCCAAGTGGCGTGTGGTCATTGTTGTTGCTCCTACTCCAGTTGTTGTTGCTGCGTGGGCGTTGCTCTGGTGTCAGTTGTGGGTTCAGATCATGCATCGAGTTGTGCCGTTGTTTACATAAAAGGCGTTTAATTAAGTCATTAACAAGCGGGAGATAATAATGCATGTACTTATGTAGTGCCACCAAATGGGTCGTAAAGGAGTTTTTGTTTGGTTGATCTGAGGTTGTGAAGAAAAAGTTATTGGGTTGTTGAACTTAAAATCGTAAAATTGATTGTTATTACTTAAAGCTATTGTAATAAAGCAGTTTACTCAATCCCATTTAAAAATAGTATACAAAAGATTTTTATTACACTTACTTTTCTATTACATTGTTTTTAAAGTTAAGTTTTTAATTGGCATAAAATATAAAGATATCTTATTTCCTTTTAATTATAATTATCTGATTAAGTTCTTTTAACAGTTAAAATTGTTTTCAACTTCCCCATCTTTTTCCGCAAAACAAGTTTGTTGCCTAAGTCTTTTGTTTATGTACCTCCTCTGACGAATAAATCTCCTGGCACGCACAAAATTTCCCCCGGCTGAAAACCCCTTATCGTGAGCCCAGCTCAAATAGATTTGTAATAAATTATGCGCTATATGCACGATAATAAATCAATAAATTGTGGCCATACGCAATTTTTTTTGCTGGTCATCGATTTGGTTTTGCCTTTTTTGCTATCTTTTGTGCTCAATTTTTTTGCATACTCGGAAAACGCATTTTTTCAGAACTGGCAGCGAGTGCCAAGTATACTAAAGGAGTAGGGGTTTTTTCTTTATTGAAAACAGGCAAAACACACGCCATATAAAAGTGGACCAGGGGACTTTGGAGGTGACAGTTCGGACAGTGACAGTGAAGGGAATGTCAAAGATAGTTTTTAGATTATTCAGGTTACAATTTCTTAACAAGAAAGTTATGGGAAAATAAAGTCATAAAATATATGTGCAAAAAATGTGTTTAAAATAGGTGTAAAGGAAGTAATGCTTACTTAGCTTCAAAATCTTACATTTCCTGGTGATTAATAGTAGCTTTGTTGAGTAATTTGATAATTTATTTTTATCAAATTATAAATAATAATAAAACCTTCCCCTCTTCACAACGCCACTGGACTCGAAAGGCACTTGGCCAGCAGGCTAAAACGTCAACTTGCGTGTTGTTGGCCACTTCAGGCTCAATGAATGAATTGCATTGATTGAACGGCTCACGCACCTCGCTTTGGGCCTGGCTTTTTCGGCTCTGCTCCACATCCACATCGCTCTATAAATTTTATGTGGCTTTTCTGCCGCCAGGGAAAGGGGCGGGAGTGGGCGGTGGAAAGCGGGCGGAAAAACTGTGTCAATGCAGCTTGGAGCCGCTTTGATTTGTTGATAACTTTTGCGTGGCGCATTGCATCACCGAAAATGTGGCGCACTTTTTTATTTTTGGCAGCGGAAATTAGATTTTTAGCCAATCGGTTAATTAAAATCCTTTGGCCGGGCCAAGAAATTGCGATTTTCCCACTCACTTTTGGCCGAGAGCCAAAGGCTAAGAAGTTGCGGCCATAAAACGTAATCAATGCGTTGCATATTAAGTTGCGGCGATCCAGTAGCCAGGATGTCACGTTATGGCCTCCTCCTCTCTGGGAGTTGTGCAATGTTCATGCCCCAATCTTTTTATATCTGTTTTGGGTTTTTCGGATTAGCCGAGGGGCGTTTGTTTTGGGTTTTCGCACTGCGTCCAAACTGGTTTGATAAACTGGTATCAATTGGCATCGCTACTTAAAAATCTCGGGATGATGGAGCAGGGCCGGAATGCGGATTGGGTATTGCATCGAGGGGGTTGCTAACCGAGTTGCCAGCACATTAATCACTCAGCTGTACATCCTTCTACCAGCGATTTACACGACGACAATGAGCATGTCCAGACCGAGTGGACATATCATGACAAATGTTGCGTATGCGCCGCGTTGACCAACTCAGAAACGTGAAAGGAACTGCTTTGGAGTCGCCTGAAGGTGGAATACTCTTACAAAACGATTAACGACTATTGATTGGGTATTAAAACTTAAAACATAATTAATATATGTTCGTATGTTCATTGTGTTTACAGCAATAAGAATCTATTATTTTTGAAGAATCAAATTAATTTAAAACTCATCTTTGGGAAATTACTTCCCTTTTAATAAGGAAATAGCAAAACATATTAAATTTACATACCTCGAAATTTGATTACTATATAGTAATTGTAAAAATAACTTTATTAACCAATTAAAAATGCAAAATTTTATTATTTTCCGGACTTCTCCAAAACACAAAAGTAATTAAATGTCAACCAAACGTAATATACATTAAAGCCAGATATTTGTTAATGCATCATTTTATGTCCCCATTAAAAAACGCATTTACTATCCTAAGGCCATCAAACCCCTCTTCGAGATCACCTCGCCCGCAATCGTTTAAGGGTACTCAGAAAAAAGTTATCAAATCGAACGACAAGTTTTTAATTACCAGCGCAGCACAGCACAGCACTTTCAAATGCGTAAACTAGTTGTCTGCCAGACAGTCGGACCATTGCAGATTTCAATTAAAAATCTTTGAAACTCCAGACATCGAATCCAACACACACAGTGTCTGGCACTCGAAACAGAGTCCCAGACGTAGAGATCCAAAGACCTGGTCCGATTAGGGTGTGTCGCTGAGTATCTCCCTCTGATGAGGCGGCTGTTAGTGGCTCGGACATTTGGGGCCTTAGGGGAGATCGCAGACCGAGGATCTGGGCAGCTCCGGGGATTCCGGGGTATTTCAGGGGACGGAGGTCCGAGGACTGACTGAAATTTGCGTAAGTTGCCGGCGCGTAACTCGAGCGCTGCCTTTCCAAATGGCTTCCAATCTGGCCACGCAATCTTGACCAGGCCTCCTTGTTGGCCAGTACACAGTAAAAAACGGGAACCCCTTTTGGGTATTTTATATAATTATTGAAACCACGTATACCATTCTCCTATGATCTACTGTTACTGTGGAATATTTTGTACATAATAGACAGGATTAATCCCATATGTAATAAATCTCATAATTATATTTTTAGTAATATTATAATATTATCTCCTCCAAATAATTACAACAATCTCTTAAAGATATTAATATAATTTAGACTTCGGAAGAATGTTAAAAATGCAGATAAAAACAATTGCAACTTCTGTAGCAGTAACATTATAAGCCAATATACAAATACAACTTTTATATATTGTTTTCTGTGTTTTCTACACCGCACGAGGAAAATTGATTGACTTGAGGCGTTTTTCGACGCATTTTCCTCTTGCGCTTTTCAGCTTTTTTCACGCCAAATGTGGAACGCACTTAAAACGCCGCTAATTGATGTCGTTCGCAGCCTGCGACGCTGTTGCAGGTTGCATGTTGCTAGTTGCTAGTTGCTGGTTGTCGCGGCTAGTTGCAACATCTATCTGGAATCAAATCAGCTTCAATGTGAGTGGGTCTATCTCGTTCTGGCCAATG